GGAAAAGGGAGTCTCCATCTTCTGTGTAGACACCCTTTAAATACTGGAACGCAGTGATAAGGTCTCCTCTGGGCTGCCTTTTCTCTAGGCTGAACAAACCCAGCTCTCTCAGCTTTTCCACATATTGCTTCCCAGTCCTTTGAACCTCTTTGTGGCCCTTCTTTGGCTCTTTCCAGCCTTTCTGCATCTTTTTTGTACAGCGGGGACTAAAACTGAGCACAGTATTCCAGCTGTGGCCTGACAAGCACCGAGTACATGGGATAATGACATCTTTGTCTCTGCTGGTGATGCCCTTGTTGATGTTCCCCAGCATCCTGTTGGCTTTCTTTGTCGCAGCTGCACACTGTTCACTCCTATGGAGCTTGTGTCCAACCAGGACTTCCAGGTCCCTTCCCACAGAGCTGCTCTCCCCAAGTAGATCCCATCTTGTGCTGCACTCCTGGATTGTGTTAACCCAGGTGTAAGACCTTGCACTTGTTGAACTTCATAAGGTTCTTGTTAGCCCACTCCTACATCCTATCCAGGTCATCCTGCAGGGTGGCTTTCCCTTCCAAAGTATCCACTCCCCCACTCGGCTTGGTATGATCCACAGACTTAATCAGGCTGCATTTGGTAGAATCACAGAATGGTTTAGGTTAGAAAGGACCGTAAGGTCGCCTACTTCCAACGCCCCTGCCATGGGCAGGGACACCTCACACTAGACCAGGTTGCTCAAAGCCCTGTCCAGCCTGGTCTTGAACACTGATAGGGATAAAGGGATCTGGATGATTTCATCATCTGGATGATTCCATCATCAGGATTGCTTGTGAAGGCATTGAACAGCTTTGGGCCCAATATCTATACCAGGGGCACAGAGAGGAGGAGAATAGAAAAGATACGCTGCCTTATGAAGGCAAGCTCCTGCTAATTTCCCAAGCTGGCTGAACAGATGCATAAACGTATGTTCCTTCCTGTAGCTTTTACTCCATCACTGGCCTGCAAACTGGTCCTATAGACTCCGCACTTGCATCCCCATCTCCACAACGTCACGAGCTGGGGCCATCGGATGAGTTCTCCATCTCTAAAACCTACCTTTCCCATCTCATCTTGCTGCATCCTTGGCTGGAACTTCAGAATAATATTCTAGATGATACAAGGGCTCTTCCTTCTGTGAGAGCCCTTGTTATCATCTGCCCACTGCTGGATCAATAGCTGGATCCATGGTGGCTGCTCCTTGCGCAGCTTTGAATTGGTGCCGATTCTCATGGCGTATCACAAGTTGGCAGTGTGGTTTAGCCCATGAACTTTACAACTTTCCTGTTCGGTGTATTCCCTGTACTTCTCAGAGAAAACACATTATGAATAGAACTGGCTCAAATATGTAATTTCCTTTTTACAGGACATCCTGTTGTTCTGGGAAAAACTTCTCTTGCAGTTTAAAGTAGTCTTAGAAGTAGTCTTCAGAAAATACCCTACGCAAGTGAGACCATCGGTGTTTTCACTAAGGAAATCAGAACACAGGATCTGATTTTTCCAGGATATATGTAACGTAAGCCTTGGAGCGTGGTCCTGGTACGTGCTTCCAGGCTTTATGCTCTCTCCCACATTCCAGGCTATGACAATGTTGGTCTGTTATTGAGCTTCCCTTCTTATTTCTCTGTTAAAGACCGTATTTTGCCAGCACAGTTGCTACACCTAACAAATTCAGCAGTGTTTGGGTTATGGTTAAGGCAGGTCTTACTTGATTACAGTGCTGCTTATAGAGGGGTGCTGCTGAAAATTAGGAGTGTTTAATCAGAGTCTTTTGGGAATTATTAAATATTAGCAAAACAAAGCCTTGTGCTGGGGCTCAGGCACCACAACTCTCTGGGCATGGACTCAGGAGGTTTTCCAGAGGGGAAGCTCATACAGTGAGCAGAAAAGAGCAGACGTTTCTCTTTGCTTCAAATGCTTATGCCCAACTCAACCAAAAAAAGAGAGCAAGCAAAGGTAGATTGTTTAAAAGGGAGATAAACGTGTGCAGAGTCTTTCCATCCTTTGAATAAAGGAGGACTGCTCTATCAAGGCGGTTTAACGAAGCAGTTACAAATAGGAATAGGACATGAAAACAGAGGTTTTTTCCCTTTCCCTTATATTTCATACATTTAGATATTTACTGTGACTAACCTCTGCTATATACAGGCAGGTTGGAACAAAGGAGTCTAAACATTATTGGTTTAGTATTACAGAGCAACACTCTGAGTTCAAAATGAAGAGAGTAAAACATTAACTAAGGATAGCACAATGAAGCCTTATGTGAAAGCCTGAGCGGTATGAATTACCTTTTGTTTTGTTGGTTTAGATGGTAACTTTCTAGGTTTATTTTTATGACACAAGAAACATTTCTCTACTGGGAAAATATCACACAACCCCAGTTCTCTTTGATTGTCCAACTTAGAGGTTTCCTGAACCAGCTCTGGAAAGAGGAGAAAGCATTATTTTGTTGAATACCTGCTGTGCAGCTTTATTTACAGAAGCTTTTTGTTTGCAGCTATTCTTAACTTAAAATATATAGAGCTTCAAACACAGTGCATCTTTGGAAGGATATAATGTAAAATGCTGCAGGCTGCTTCTTCCAATGTGACTGTTCTGGGGCCTGCTGAATGTTATGGTTGAAACAATGACACAAAGACGGTATTTTGAGGAGCTGCAGCAACAGATGTAATCGAAAGCTAGACATGCTATTTTTGAAGAGGTCCCACAGGTCCCCCAGTGACATAGAACCCCAGACTGGTTTGGGTTGGAAGGGATCTTAAAACTCATCCAGCTCCAACCCCTGCCACAGGCAGGGACACCTTCCACTAGAGCAGCTTGCTCCAAGCCCCTGTGTCCAACCTGGCCTTGAACACTGCCAGGGATGGGGCAGCCACAGCTTCTCTGGGCACCCTGTGCCAGTGCCTCAGCACCCTCACAGGGAAGAGCTTCTTCCTTATATCCAACCTAAATCCCCTCTGTTTCAGTTTGAACCCATCACCCCTTGTCCTATCGCTGCAGTCCCTGATGAAGAGTCCCTCTCCAGCATCCTTGTAGCCCCCCTCAGGGATTGAAGCTGCTCTGAGATCTCCACGCATCTTCTGTTCTCCAGGCTGAACAGCCCCAGCTTTTTCAGCCTCCCTTCATACAGGAGGTACTTTGACATAAGTTTGCTGAGAAGAAAAGCCCCCAGTTTCCCCAAGTAAAGCAAATATCCAAAGCTATTTGCTGGTAGGAATCCTTTTGCTTTGTACAGGAGCAGGGGTGATGAGACAGGGCTCAGTGCTGGGCTGCAGTGTGTGCCCTGATGGTGTGTGAAGAGGTGGGATCTCTCACTGGGATTTTGCAGAGGCAGCAGTGAGAATCACGTCCACTGTGCTCCTCAAGCTGTCAGGGATGACACCAGGGTCTTTTCTTCCCCAGCTCACCACATGCTTTGTGCTAAGGTCGATTTAGGCAAATGTAACCGAATGCAAAACCCTGTACTTGTGCTTCTGCTGCTTAAAATAACCATGAGCTTCAGGAAACCAGAGTCTGTCAGCTCAGAGTTATCTTTTAACTTGAACAGAAGGAGAGGAGTCCTTGACTCAGGATGGCTCAGGCAGCGCTGCTGGGGTATGAAATGGCTTTTCATTTCATGGCAGACTTTGTCCCCATTGTGCTGGGGCAGTGGAGACTTGCAGCCATGCACAGAATTGCTGGAAATAAGCAAATCGGTCCTGTCCTTTGGGAAACTGCCATATTCAATTCACACTTTTACTACACACCTGTAGTAAAAGTCTGCACCCAGTCGACAAGCTGATTGAATGTATACCCAATATATGTTCAGTTCGTATTGAATATGACACCATTGTTACTGCACTGCTTGCTCCCAAAAATAGGCTTCGAGAAGAAATGTTTAAAAGCTAAAATTTGGTCTCAGTTTCATTTAAGAACAAATAAGATCAATAGTTTTCTTCCCTGTGAGGGTGCTGAGGCGCTGGCACAGGGTGCCCAGAGAAGCTGTGGCTGCCCCATCCCTGGCAGTGTTCAAGGCCAGGTTGGACACAGGGGCTTGGAGCAAGCTGCTCTAGTGGAAGGGGTCCCTGCCCGTGGCAGGGGTTGGAACTGGATGAGCTTTAAGGTCCCTTCCAACCCAAACTGTTGTATGATTCTATGATTTTCAGATGTAAAAGTACATTTTCTAACGCTGATCTCCAGTAAGAGTAAATGCTTTGTGCTTGTATGGTTTAAATGTTCACTTAATGTTTAGGTTCCCCATCGTTCTGTATAGTTGCTTCCTCTCAACCTTGCATTTCATTTGAATGGCTCCATTTTCTGTGCTGCTGTTTCCTTGCTGGGTTTTCACCAACCTATTGTGGTCCCTATGGGGTTTGTGCCTTTGTGAGCACACAGTGCTACAAAAGGATTATTGATAATACCAGGACTCTGTGCATTTTACAGGTTGTCTCACCTTGTGTAACAAAGCCATACAATTACTGTTTGAAAAGGGCCAGGGTAGAATTCTGCTAAAAATAGAATGCAGTATTTCCATGGGGAAGAATGCACAAGGATTTGCTGCACCTCAGGTATCTCCGTGTTTGCTTTCTCACCTGTAGGAGCGCACGCAGAAATGCGATGCTATTTTGGATGAGGGTTTTGATGAACCTGTGAAATTCTCTTCTTTTTGTGCCAAGGGAAGTTGTAGACACTACCACAGGGCAGTCAGTGGTGGTGTCTGTGTGGTTGAGCCACCTTCACACTGGAAATCGGGCTTGCAGAACAGATTTATTTCCAAGTGGGTGTTCCCTTTTGTAACACAAAGTGACATAAATACTGGGATATGAGGAAGATGACAGCCGTGATACCCGGCTCTGGAAGCCATACTGCAATGTGAAATCTCCTTTGGGAAATGCAGAACTAGCCTTATAGCTGAGGTCTGTGCCATCCACTCGAAAGCCCTGCATTTGTAAGCGTGATGAACGTTCATCTTCACCCTGCTCACGAGTCTCTCCTTTGACTTTCCCCAGGAGCTCTGACTCTGAAGAAGCATTTGAGACCCCGGAGTCCACTACACCGGTAAAGGCACCACCGTCACCTCCACAGCCACCCCCTGAAGCAGCAGCAGTTGTAGCTGACATAGCAGAACAAGAACTCAAACCCCAGCTGCCCTTGGAAGACACAGGTAAAGAGCGTGTAGCGTATGGGACAGGTTACTGAGGTGGGTGAAGATGCAGGGAGGTGTTTGTGTGAGCGCAGGCAAAGGACTGATGCTGATAAAATATCTTCTAGAGGATTAGTTAGCGTATGCTGGGCATTATCCATGCTGTGAGGAACAACCCTGTCACCTCCTGGGATAAAGAATCTCTCCATTTGGCAAGTATTAAGGAAAAGGGGCACTTTGTAGAAACATGTTTCTTCCTTTTGAATCACATTTCAGTCCATAGGATCTTTACAGAGTCAGATGAGTAGAAAAAGGACGTATGAGCTACAGATGGAGGTATCTGGGTGAGCACTGTTAACTAGAACAGTTAGTAATATCATTTTCAAATGCATTGTCACCTGAAGCAGAAGATGAACAAAAAGCCCATTGGAATGATAGAAATATTGATATTAGATTTATAGGAGGAACATGGGAGTATGTGTGAATATGCATATAATATATGTACATAAAATGGGTCCACGCTGGGAAAATGACGTTTCAAACGTGAATATCATGTTTAAAAACCCGAAGAAATCCTTTCCCAAAAAAGTATTCTTTGTTCTCCAAATTGAGTAATGGAATATGAGGGAGTAGAAGGCACTCCCTTAGCCCAAAACAGCTTTGTTTGGGCTGTCAGATGACAGCTCAGCAGTTTAACATCGAGTTCCCCATTGTGCTGTCTTCTCTCCTATCCCAAAGTCAAGGATCACCTGGCTAAATCCTATAAAGGTAATTTTCCTCCCAGCAGACTGAAGCTTGCTTGTATTTCATTTGGGATGATGTACAGCACTCCCAGGTCGCGTTTTAATGCTTCCATTTCCACTCCAGAAGCAGCTTGTGCTTAGCAGAAGGCAGAGCAATGTCCAGGGCTGGTGTGTGTGTATTATAAAGGCTGTCCAGCTTTGATTGAAACCTTCAGGACAAACGAGTGTTGCAAGTGTCTCGAGCCACCTAAAGCATCTCTGGGAGTTATGCATTAAGGAATTCTCTTTAAGAGCATGATTTATGAGACAAGTTTATAAGAAGCTGGAAAGATCTTCAACAAGCTGGCTCCACAAAACAGGCATTAAATACTGGGGCATCCTGACACTTCCTTCTTGCTCCTACAGTTCCCTCTTCATTGCATCAGCATTTCTCATTCTCCATCTTCTTTCCCTTTCCTAATCTTTTGCAATCTAATGATCACAAAATAAGTGCTGAGAGAACAAAAGAGCACATATGCTAAACAGGACTGGAGTGTGGTTTTAATTACTGCAATAGATTATCCTTAAACCCTTGATTACACATGTGCTTCCCTGGCACACGTACTTCTTGTCTCGCTTCATCCCATATCTCCCCTCCTTTCTTTGACATATTTCTGGGCGAAGGTAGGGAACTGAATGTATCTGTTCTTAGCTGATGTGAGCTATACTGAAGGCCACTGCTTGGCAGAGATGAAAACATTTCACTTGCAAATAAGGTATGTCCATGGGAGGCCAATTGCCACAAACTGAGCTATGTTCAGCATTGCAAAATGCAGTTATACAACAGGGTGATTTGAAGGGAAGAATACGGAAGGAATTCAGCTGCGGGGGGCAACACAAAGCATTCATTTGGGAAATATTGGGAAGAAATGACTGATACTAAGACTACAGCTTAGGTGTTCGCATGCTTCCTCAAGGAAAGAATTAAGCAGTTTCTGCTTTATAAGCTGCTGGAGTGACAGTTATCTTGTAGTTTATTTACCTCATAGGTTATGCATGTGGCTGCACACAGAGAGAATAAGTCCCCTCCTTGGGGTTATGGGTAGTGGAAGTAAAGCTCCTCATTGATACCATACAGCTAAATAAATAGGGTTCAATAAAAGAGGAGTAAGGAATATGGGCAACTGGAGAGCCTGGCACACCCAGGGAGAGGCAGGGATGTCCAGCTGGGTTTCTGGTTCACCAGCTACATGGCTGTGTCTTCTGCATGAGGCTGGTGACAGAGAGTGTGTTTGGGTGGAAGGAGGGACCATAGGAAGTGTTTAAAGGGTTGTTTCATCTATATCTGATAATAATTACTCATGCAGACGGCTGCAGTTGTGCTGCGTGATATCATTAACGCAGCAGCTGGACCCCACTGCTGGAAAGCCAAGAGAAGAGTTTTTCATTAGGTTGCCTTCAACACAGGCTTAGTAAATCTGATGAAAGGGAAATACAGCTCAGCTCATCCTGGGCTTGTGCCAGCTCCTAGTGGGGTAAAACCTGCTGCATGGCTCCAGTCCAGCAGCGGCAGAGCAGGAGAGGGGACTTGGTCTGTAGGCAAGTCTGGAGGGGAAGATGAGTAACAGAGAATATATGGAAGCTGCCTCTGAACCCCAAAAAGTGTCACTAGTGCCTTCCATTCCTTCATAACTTGTTTGTTTGTTGTGGGGGATGTGGGTTATATTCTTGAGACAAATGATTTTGAGTTTTTTTTTAAGTATTATTAATATTTTGGTGGTATTTTAAACTATCATTGTTTATCAGGTTCTCATAGCGGTCTCTTCTGTCCCTTGTTCCAGCTATCTGAGCACCAGAAAGTGCCCCATGCCCTTCCTCCCAAATATTCCCTGTTTCTAGCCAGGAATTCCTGCCTAGGCAGGGGCATCTCTTCTGCCCCTTTGCCCCCAGCACCTTATCCAATTGATTAATGAATTCAGGTTGTATACACAGGGAAGATGTGAGAGCTGGAGTCCCCTCTATGCATTACAGCCTGCTAGTCAGGATATAGGGGACTATATTCAGTCCTTCTTGTGCCAGTGAAAATGAGGTCAGGCTTTCCAATAGAGAAAGATGATGATCCAGACATAAACAAAGTGATTTTTTGGTATGGAAAACTTTCTTCAGTGTTTATGTTCTTGAATCCTGACAGAGAAGAATTGAAAATAACCTTTATATGGCAGTTTTCTTTCAGAATAAATGACAAAAGTATTTTTAAAGGAGTGCTTTACAAAGCACTACTAAATGATTTTGTAAATTCAGAAGCTTCTCTTGACAGGCTGAGAGAGCTGGGCTGGTTCGGCCTGGAGAAGAGAAGGCTCCTTTAGGGGAGACCTCAGAGCAGCTTCCATTTTCAAGCCTCTTGGATTTCCCCTTGTCTTAGAGATACTTGAACAATATCTCGGCACTCCACCATTAAGGGAATTTATTTTAATTTAAAGACAAAAATGTTTTTAAATAGCTCAAAAACTGTGATGTAAAAGGACAAATGGCAGTGTTGTTAATGTCAGGGAAGAATGGACCACATATCTCCTTGTAGTAGTAAATCCGTGCCACTTTGCGGTTGTGAGTACCATTCATATCTTCCTCCCCAGCCTTTCTGCTCGTACCAGTACTGAGCCAGTTCTGCTTTAATGCCAGAAGAGTCTAACAGCAGCGTTTCCCTCCTACCAAAAGCCGTGTTTTCTGAGCCAGTTTCACATATTGTTTCATAAAGAAACAATAAAAACATCACTGTGGGGAGTGAAGCGATGCTCTGCAGCAGTGTGTACTCTTAAGTAAAGGATTTGATTAGGAGGAAGTTGTGAAATAAGCAGTTAAAGAAGATTAAAGCTCTGCACTATGTGGAACACACCAAATTTGAGTCCTGCTTTGCCTTGAGTAACTAGAAAGCCTTGTCCAGTCTCTTTGCTGCTGTGATGCATTCCCAACCTCAGCTTTGCCATGCCTGTTATTTACAGTCCGAGTCCTGCAGGGCACTGCTTTGGTTTATTTGATTTTACTTTGTTTAAATGCGTGTTTGTAGTGACTTTGAGCGAGGGGCCTCAATCCTGTTGAGGCCTTTGGTGCACGCTGGAATGAAACCAACGAGTAATTGCAGACAAGTTCTTGTTCAGATCCCCCTTTCATTTCATGCTGACCTGCTTTGTACTCCCGATGTGTTAGAGCTGCACCAGTGTTTATTGTCGTGTACTCCCGTCAAACACCTTCCATTCCCATTTCATTGTACAATGTAAGATTATCCTAATGCTGGAGTTTTATGACACTCTTTGGGCAGTCCCCTTAGTAGAAGACCTTTCAGTGTCAGAAAGTGATGTGTGTGGGAAGTGAGCACCAGCTCAGCTGGCAAATCAAGTCTAATTAATGGCCTCCCAGCCTGGGCTAAACCCAAGCCTGACCCAGTGGCAATTAAGGAGAAAAAGAAACTCTCATGAAGTCCTGCCACATTTCTGGCATTCATTTAGCAGAAAAAAACACATTAAAAGATCATTTTAATTGATGTGACTTAGTAAACTTCCACGGTCTTAAAAGAGAAATTGTGTAGCTGTCATCCTTTGACAGCCTCTGCAGATACATTCAGCCGCTTGAAGGTGTTGCTTTGGGAATTGTGTCCGATTTCCTGAAGTCCTCTCTGTCCTCTACATCCATAAATAATAATCCTTGCAATCTCTATGGAGGCATAATTTCTTCTGAAACAAAGGAAAAACGTGGTTTCTTTCCTGTTCTTAATCCATTCATAGCTTCTGACTAAAATCATTGTCTGTAAAGCTTTTATGAGCAATGTTGATGAAGATAGCTGGGCAAAATGGGAATTCTTCTGCAAAACATGTCAGAACTGGAAAGAAAAAGATGCATAGAAAATTCCCTGAAATCATTTAAGGATGAGCAAAGCATTCAGTTTTGTTTGACTGATTTTCTTTATAATTGCATAATTTATAAAAATGACAACATGAAGAATGCTGTGTTGCTTCAATAGGAAACAGGGGGGCATTTTGCTCCAGGGTGTATGAGTAAGAGCTCAGGGGAGCTGGCTTGAGCTCTCCAGCTGGAACTATGAGCTAGAGAGAGATTTCCCACCTCTCTTATACTCTGACTGGGTCACACACAAAGACAGAGATGACTCTATGACGTTCAGGTAGTAGCAGTGACAGCAGGAGGAAACCACATTCAGGGCCTATAAAACACTTGAGCAATCAACTTTAATGAGCTGGAAGGCAGCAAAGACCATCATCTTAATCCTTTCCTACCTGTATATTTTCTGTTACTTTTTTATATGCATAGTCTCTTTTTCTACTTTTTCCAATATACTCCAAGTCAGGAGTCTCCTATAAATAATTTTGTGCTTCCATTCAACAAGCAAACCTTTAATTACAATGAAAAGCTGCTTGGATTAACAGTTTCAGCATGTAATTCCCTCTATAAAAATTTCCTTTCGTCAGTGAGTTAGAACTACACTTGGAGAAATCTGTTATAAATATCTGGAGGGAGCTTCCTGTGGTCTTCTTAAAGGAAGATTTTAAATTGAGACTATTTCTACAGTACTAATTGACTAAAAAAAAAGTCTAATTGACTTTTTTTACCTTTACCATCATTTCTTTCATGTGAAGTTCTTAATGAGTCATGTCTCATTATGAGCTTGGAATGATGAGGGCTAAGTAGAGTGTATTGACTCCTTGGGAGCAGCATTGATGGATTGTGGAGAGGAAGCTATGTTCCTCTGGGAAAACGGGTAAAAATAGCACATGGGAAACAAACCTTAAGATCAACATGTAATTGCTGAAGCACCCATCGATTTACAGGGAGCGTACTGCATTAGAGCTCTGACACAGTTGTGAGAACTCTTTGTAATAGCAGAAAATGCGAGTAATAAATTGCTTGATATTAATTTTTTCTGGTATTTGGCATGTTTAGCATGTTATGGTAATCCCCATCTCTTTAACTAATCGATAATTAGTTTAGGAGGGATGCTGTAGAGGCTGTTGCAAATGCATATTTTGTGTTTCCATGAAACTTGCCTTGAATCCTTTTCTGGGGAGAACAGAACCATTTTTTCCCTTCATCTAGTTCATATGTTGGAAACGTCCCTTTAGTTTGTGTGTCCTTTAATCATTGCTTAGTCCATTTGTATGATTTTAACCCTTTTTTCCCCTTTTACTTGTAGGAATATTAAATTTGAGTAAAACTCACTAAGTTCCAGTTTAAAAAAAGTGTTTAAAAATCACTGAGTTTTCTGTTTGTTCCCACAGGATCATGTTCAGAAGCTGTACCTGTAACTGATGTGTCACACAGCGAACCACTTGAAGAAAGCCCTTTCCGGCCCCCTTCCCACTCTTTTTCCACCGTCTTCGACGAGGACAAGCCAATAGCCAGCAGTGGAACTTACAACTTGGACTTCGATAACATTGAGTTGGTTGATTCTCTCCATGCCTTAGGACCGAGCTCTCCAGAATCAAAGAATCGTGACCCCAAAGCAAATGTGCGAAGAAAATCCACTGATTCACTCCCAGTTTCCAAATCTACGTTGTCTCGATCTCTTAGCTTGCAAGCAAGTGATTTTGATGGAGCATCTTATCTTGGCAACAGTGAGACATTAGCACCGGCAGCGGATGTGTATGGTACTGGTTCAAGCAGTGCTTCTAGTACTCTTAAGAGAACAAAGAAATCCAGACCGGCTTCCTTAAAAAAGAAGCAGCCAGCCAAAAAACCTCTGGATGCTCCACTGGTGAAGGAAACTCCTCAAGAACCACCTGACCTTGGCCAAGCTGATTGCGACCCAGGTGAGGATAAAACAGCATCTGAAGCTAAGGCTGATTCAGTAAGGCCTGAATGTACTGAACCTTCTAAAATCTCTGCTGAGAAACAGGAGGCCCCGCCTGTGCCTGAAGGATCCCACCCTTTGGATCCAGACAGTTTGGAAGGGATTAGTGCATTTAGCACTGGAGGCAGCAAGGTACAAAACTCTCCCCCTGCCAATAAGAAACCACTACCTCTTACAACGGCACCGGAGGCTGAGGAGGTGACTCCACCAGACACTGGAGGACAAGAAGACCCTCCAGTCAAAGGTGTTGCGGTGAGGCTGGAGTTTGATTACTCTGAAGAGAAAGGGGTGAGTGAAGACCAGCAGGAGAGTACTCCTCCTCCCAAAAAAGCAGGTAAAAAGCCTGGTGCTAAAATGCCACTAAGGAGGCCAAAGACTAAAAAGTCAGTGGAAAAGCTTGACAATGCTCCTACCACACCAACTAAGTCACCCACTGATCCAAACGAAATCCCTATCACAAAAGGCTCTTACACTTTTGATATTGACAAGTGGGATGATCCCAATTTTAACCCTTTCTCATCTAGTACAAAAATGCAAGAATCACCCAAACTGCCTCAGCAAACGTACAGTTTTGAGCCAGACATGTGCGAGGACTCTATGGACCCTTTCAAGTCTTCTTCTAAGATAGCCAGCTCGCCCTCTAAATCTCCAGCTTCCTTTGAGATACCAGCCAGTGCCAATGAAACAAATGGAACAGAAGGAGACAACTTGAATAAACCTGCAAAAAAGAAGAAGACACCATTAAAAACGTAAGTTAAAGGGTGCTCTTATTTCTAGATTAGAAGAAGCGTATTCCTCCCCCATGGCAGGGGGATTGGAACTGGATGATAGAATCATAGAATCGTTAGGGTCAGAAAGGACCTTAAGATCATCCAGTTCCAAACCCCCTGCCATGGCCAGGGACACCTCACACTAAACCATGGCACCCAAGGCTCTGTCCAACCTGGCCTTGAACACTGCCAGGGATGGAGCATTCACAGCCTCTCTGGGCAACCCATTCCAGTGCCTCACCACCCTCACAGGAAAGAGCTTCTTCCTTATATCCAATCTAAACTTCCCCTGTTTCAGTTTTAACCCGTTACCCCTTGTCCCGACACTACAGTCCCTAATGAAGAGTCCCTCCCCAGCATTCCTATAGGCCCCCTTCAGATACTGGAAGGCTGCTCTGAGGTCTTAAGGTCCTTTCCAACCCTAACTATTCTGTGATTCTATGTAAAACATGACCTCCCTTACAGAGTGAGGTGAAGATTATTCAGTTGTTTCTGAGCAGCTTGCTGACCTCTAGGCTTCTAATTCACCTCTCTTGCCAGATTTGAGGAAGCTTGGGCCATTTTTAACTTTCTAGGGGCATTTCTGACTTAGGGGAAGTATAGACCACAGTATGGTTGAGTTGGTTTTTGTGGAAGAAGCTTGTTTTTTTGTGATTTTTTTTTTTTTTTTCTTCATTAGGTTGGATATAAGGAAGAAATTCTTTCCTGTTGGGGTGGTGAGGCACTGGAATGGGTTGCCCAAGGAAGTTGTGAATGCTCCATCCCTGGCAGTGTTCAAGGCTAGGTTGGACAAAGCCTTGGGTGCCGTGGTTTAGTGTGAGGTGTCCATGCCCATGGCAGGGGGGTTGGAACTGGATGATCTTAAGGTCCTTTACAACCCTGACTGTTCTATGATTATATGATTTTCAGGTATGCCTGAAATTTAGTGGACGTTAAGGCAGGAATTGAGACGCATTCTAGGCTGACATGTTTTTCAAGCCTCCACTCCAAGCTAGCTTGCTCCAAACCAAAAGGACTTCAAAGTCTGCCTGCAAGAAAGGAGCACTTTGAATCTGACTGAGCAAGAGCAGAGGGAGAGAGGGGAATTTTGGTATCACCAGGTCCTCAAGTCTGATACTTGCAGGCAGCCAAAGTCTCCTTGTGCCTTCCAGTAGTTGCAGCGGTGTTGATAGACCCTCAGTGTAAACTTCTTACGTCCCCCTATCATCTGTGAACATTAGAATGAATTCCAAGTTGTTAATTTTAGGGGAAACATGAGTTTTTACAAAAGGCTTGCTGAAACACATTTATCCTTGGGAGAGCTCTGTTCTACAGAGCTCACTGCTGGGCTTTATTGTGGTGGAAGAAGTGAAATCACCCTAGAGCAGGGCTCGCAAGGTCTTAGATCAGGGGGCTTGCAGGGATTCCCAGCCCTTCCGTGGGACTGCTTTCACTGCATCATGTTGTGTGTCTGCTCACTGCAGCCCCATAACCTACTTCTACAAGTGGTTTCTCAAAGGGAGAGAATCTGCATATTAATACACAGGGCAGCCTGCAGCCATAATATGTTCTAGAGGAAAATTACCCTAAAGCATGTTGGGGGATGCCAGGGGAAGCAGTGGCTTTTATTTGTCTTTGCCTCTCTCTGGTATCTCTTCTCCTTCAAAACGGGCCTCAGCATTTCTTCTCTGGGAGGGTCCAGTGCAGGATAACACCATGCCAGGCAAGGAGATGGGGTGTAAAACCCTTGGCAATGCTCCCATGGTGGGACAGGAGAGAGAAGCCACTGCAAACCACTTCAGATCCAGGGGGCAGAAAGGACGGTGTTTGAATTAGGAAATGGAACTGTGATACACCAGGACTCCTAAACCCTGATTAAGGGAATTTAAAACCTAATTTTGCAAAGCCAGGGGTTTTTATTAGTACCGTTGGGAGGTGCAGAAAGAAAACCCTGTGGACCAGTTTGAAAATCTGTGTCTCATATGGAAATCCAGCAATTTTTAGATTAGAGCTATAGGAGGCAAAGAAGCCAGGCATAAAAAATGAGAATAGCAACGCTAAGTTTGTACTATTTGGACTCTGCTAGGTCTTACCTGTGTTAAATCAAGACAAATAACCAGGTTTTATTCTTGAATGCAACCTGCAGCAGTCTAACCATTGACCTCCGTGTGAAAAGATGAGGTTTTTAGAAGAGAACAGCTCGACACAAATTACTCTGTAGCTGTATACCTAAGTGCTGAGCTGCTCTGAGACAGATCATGTTGCTCAGATGATTCTGAACAAAGAGCAGCTGATGCCTCCTGAGCGCCTGTTTATAGTGAAGGGTAAAAATAGTGACTTGTATAGACATTGCTCTCAAAGCTGCTGGATGACTGGAGGCTGTGTTTAGAAACACAAGGTGCCAACTTTCAAGAGCTTTGCACGTGAGAAGAACTGGACAGAAGCTGCCAAGCTTATAAGTAGAAGAAACCTTTTCTTTGCCTTAACTGTTTGACAAGGTTTGCTTCTGGTTTTGAGGCAATCCATTTGCTCTGTCACAACACACCGTTAGGATTGAGTGAGAGCTAAAATAGATGAGATTTAAAGAAAATTAAAGAAATTTTTATAAGAGCAAGTAGGGGCAGGCCAAGGGGAATGGCTTTAACCTGCCAGAGGGGAGGCTGAGATGAGCTCTTAGGCAGAAGCTCTTCCCTGGGAGGGTGCTGAGGCGCTGGCACAGGGTGCCCAGAGAAGCTGTGGCTGCCCCATCCCTGGCAGTGTTCAAGGCCAGGTTGGACACAGGGGCTTGGAGCAAGCTGCTCTAGTGGAAGGTGTCCCTGCCCGTGGCAGGGGTTGGAGCTGGAGGAGCTTTAAGGCCCCTTCCAACACAAACCAGGCTGGGATTCTGTGATTCTATGAAATGTCTTTTTCTTTCTTGAATCAGGTACATGATTTGAAGTGGTCAAGTAGCTTTCTCTGTACTGTCATAACAAATCAGCAAGCATGAAGAAACCCTTGCCTAACTTATGTTCTTTCCTTAAGCTTAGCTACCATTGAAAAATAGTTCTACATCCCTTATAACAAATACTGTGGTTTGAAATGAAAGCAGGTGGCTTCCATCAGGGAAGGCAGGGATGGTTAGTATGTTGAAAGGAACTTGGAGGCGACAGCATTGAGTAATGTGCTTTGTAAGATGAAAGCGGGTCAAAAGTGTAACATTGAATTTGGGAACAATGAAGGACTTGAATGTTGGTTTTTTTTTCTCCCCATGTATTTCACAATAAAAGTAGAGGTTAAGGTTGTACAGGTAGAAAATATGCATGATCAGATTGCCTTAACACATTAACATTAACCAAGTATTTGTAGGTTTATCTTTTTTGTCAGTTCCTTCTGTCTGTCTCTCTTTTCTTTGTCTTATTTGTCTTAGGATGGTAGAAGATGTGATGTCTGTATGTTCTCTGTTGTAAGTAATTCTAAGCTAACAATTCAAGTTTCCTCTTTGATTTATGGGCTTTTTAATTTTACTTATTTAATTTGCAGCATGATCGGTTGCTATTGAGCATGAAGCTTTTATGTTAACTATTCCTTTTCACTGGCACATGTGAAAGCTGTTTTCAGTAAGATGCCTGGCTGTGAATGATTTTGAGGAAGCTATTGCCTCTTTATCTGTTTGCCTATCAAGGAAGATCTTCTTTTAAGAACGGTATAGATTTTGTATCCTTAGCTAAAATATGATAGTTGTATTTCTACCATTGTACACCACCACTGTACAATTGGTCTCTTGTAAATACTGTATAAAGTGTTTCTCCTGATTAAAGGAATAATACTGAATAATTCTAGCATCAAAACTGGATAATGAGTAGCATTGAACACACCAATATTCCGCTGTCCAATTTATTTTCCCCTTTACATGTGGTATTGATTTACTCTCTGCTGATTGAAACCCACCATTATCATTTCTAGTGTTGATCTTGCTGTCATTGATCAGGCATGAGCTGGTGGGCAGAATTTTTTGCCACTGCATCTCAGTTCAAACATCAAGTCTTTATCAGTGAGTTTGCTGTGAGATTTTTCTCCCTTTTTCTAGTTAGTGACATAAACGTGTCTAAATAACTCTAGCAAAATGCATCAAAAGAAGAAGCAGATAACTGGTTTATTTCCTGGTTAGAAAATATTTTAAGCCAATTGTGAATGAGCATAAAGGCAAAACTCATAATTATACACCAGGACATAATGTATGTTCATTCCTTTTGCCTGATTGAAACCTGTGGGGTTTTGAAGGGCTCTGGTATCCGTGCTCCCCCTCTGCACGTTGAGCTGTCAAGGGAACTGGAAGCAAAATTGCCATATTTGTTGTTGTATTTGTTTTAAAAAGGGTCTGTTTGTGCACATTTGTAATGATAGAGCTTTGCTCTGATCAGAACAGCATCTCCCTCAGCTGGTTTCATGTAGTTCATCTAGAACATACCAATTTTTGTCTCGATGGTTTATGGGATCATTGGTACTTACTGCTCAACTTCATCACAGTTGTATTTCTTAGGTTAAGATGTGTTTTAGACCTAATTTTCAGATGGGAAACTGAAGCAGACAGAAGCTAAATAACTTGCTTAAGGGCGCTGAGGATGTCTGTGCTGGAGCAGGGATTTGAATTGCGATCGAGCAGCAACTCTGTTCTGTAAATGTGTCAGTGCTTAGCATGAAAAATATGGCAATCCTGCTTTTCTCAGCTTCTGGGGAATGGAGGCCTGTTCCAAATGCATGACAAGAATATGTACCTATGGCATGTTACTCTGTGCTGCTGCTGCCTAATGGATGAGATTTTAAAGCAGATGGGCTTATAGAGGTTGCATTGTCTGTGGCTCTCGTGCTGAGCGTGAAATGACCTGATTCTCGCTGGTGTTACCATATTAACGGTTTTAACTTCATTTTCAGTGATACATTTAGGGTGAAAAAATCGCCAAAAAGATCCCCACTTTCTGATCCTCCTTCTCAGGTAAAGCACTGCCTTATTCTGCTGCGTGTAATGAGTGTTCTTGTAGGGGAAATAAAGGGAAACTTGATTTATTTAATTGTAGAATTTTACATTTAATAATAGAAGAGGCTTTTGTAAAGAATATGAGCATTTTAGTGTCCAAGTATAGCACACTGGGCTATAATCATAAGGAATTAACATTTTAGTCTCTAGAAGTGTGTGTACGATGTATATTAGATCTAATATTTGCTCTGGGAATCCCAGTTAGAGTATTAGTAAATACACTTCAGAAGGCCCTATGTTTCGATAGAGTGATGATATGAATAAATATCTTCAGTTGTCTGAAAAACAGGCATAGCTATCTACCCTGGAATTTTTAGATCAGAAAGTAAGAAACTAAATGCATCAAATTGGCGGGCTGGATGGGAAACAGAGATAAACCAAGTGGGCTGATCCGCCAGGAACATGTGCTTGGATGGTTTTATTCCTTGTTGTAAACTACCTGCAGGTGGTTTTCTTGGAAGAGAAGTTAACAAAAGCTGTTCTGCCTTACAAAGGCCTCACTGCTTTGATGTGCCACAGCTCCTTCCATGCTGCTGTTCATCTTCCTGTTATCCATCTATCCTGTTATCCTTTTCTTTGTGCTGCTCAGCAGCACAGAAGTGAAGAAAGGGCTTGTGACCTCACAGACCTATGAAGGTTTGCCCCTGTGAGGGAAGCCTAAAAAGTCAGTTTTGGTAGTCAAAGACTTCAGTCATGGGTGATGTGTGCCACTTAAGTCAAGTGCCTAACAGCTTTAAACAGCTCTGGTTTCTCTTTCTTCCCTGTTCTCAAGGAGCCTTTGTAATGCAAGTGTGTATCATCAAAGAGTTTAGTTATGCTTGGAAAACTTGCTGCTAGTAGAGTTCCAAATGAAGTACTTGTGTATTTTCTGTTAAGTATTAGATATACAGAGCTGCAGCAAAGAGTATGGAATTAAAAAGATGATTGTGGTCAGGCAAAGGGATTCAGAGAGTTCAACATGTTAATGAAAGATAATAGAATTAATTAGCACTTGTTTTCTGCAGGATCCCACTCCACTGCCTACTCCAGAAACACCTCCCGTCATATCCACAGTGGTGCATGCGACAGATGAGGAGAAGCTGGCATCTTCAGTGACCAGCCAGAAGTGGACCTGCATGACCGTGGACCTGAACACGGATAAGCAGGATTATCCCCAGCCCTCTGATCTGTCTACGTTTGTGAATGAGACCAAGTTCAGCTCTCCTACAGAGGGTATGCTTTATAAAGGACTGTCTGCATCCAGCTGATGCTGTATTTAGTGAGAAGGTGGTTTGGGTTGCTCGAGGATGATGGCATGTACTTTGCTGAATAGAAACTGTATTATTTGGGAACCCTAAGAATTATGCTCTTTGGACCAATCCAGGGAATTTGTCAGTTATGGGGAGCTGAGTGTAAGACCCCAATAGTCTGATCTTGAATTTTCAAGGAAGAGCAGAGAGGAAGATCAAAGGAAAACGAAAGGGGTTTTCAGAGAAAGGCTTTCACTTCCTTTGTATGGTTAATTGTAGAATGCTCTGTTCTTCTGCACATGCTACTTGTCCTCTCTGTGCCTTCACAGGAGACTGTGCTCTGATACTGCTCTCAGTTAGTGCTCTTGGATCCAGAGTCACTGAACTACTGGTTTTGCTTGAGCCTGTTCCTCTAACCTGAACAGGAGATGGCCTCAGGAGACAGTCCCACCTTAAAACTCTGCTCAAAGCTTATGTATTGCTTTAAAGCCTTTCACATGCCATCTCTCCTCCAGGTTCCTAGGATCCAGGTATCTTTATGCACAAAAATGCCCAGGATATCCCCTGCATAAGGTAGTTATCATTGACATGCCAGATAAGATTTCCTTCTAAATCAGCTGATCCAGATTTCTCCTGTCGTACCTGCCTATGAGCAGTGGTGAGCTAAAGCTGGAGGTTCCTGTTACGAGAACTGTCATTGCAGGTCTGTGAAATGTGGAAAGAGAGAACTTAGAACTTAAACTTGTGTGTGGCCTTCCTTAGGGTCCCCGGAGGGAATACAGCTTTGCAACATCTGCTCTGCTCCAAGGGCAGCTTTTCAGCTTTGTGGGTGGGAAGAATGTATGACTTCAACTTGGCTGAAACGTTCTTCGTGATCACAATTTATTCCCTGCCCAACCTTTCAACCCATGTCCCAGTCTGCTATTGAAGCTACTTGATGCCATTTTACACTGGGCCTGAGGAGTTTTTGCCTAATGAAGAAGTGCTAACCTCCTAGGTCAAATGTGTTTGACGTTAAAAGGCAGGGATAATCACAGTGGTTTTAATGGGACCGCATGTGTTCGCCTGCACGAGCATGTGTGTTTGTGTAGCCCGGGCTTTGTGGAAATGTGTTACTTATCTGTGTACAGAGAAGTATTTCAGTCTGAATAAATCCATTTGGCTTTGCTGTCAAATCATGACTATTAGATTACAAATTCATTTAGCCTGTATCAAAACCAAAAACAAACAACAAATACTTTTGAGGAAAGTCACCCAGATCTGGGAAGAAAGGAAATGCTATGGAAGGAAATGGAACAAAAGACTAGTGAGAGATACTCTAAGGGAATCGTTTTAGCTATCAAAGCAGGTAGAAGAAAGTGAGCAAAGCTCCTAATTAAATGCTAATTGTCTTGTCTCCTGTGTGCTCCATGGTGCAGGCAAGTTTCAGATTACTGCCTAATTATAATCAACAACGCTTCAGCTTTTCCTGTCTCTTACAAATAATAATTCCAACCCCCCCCCCTTCACAGTCTTGCTCCTGAAGCACTGAGAAATCCTTGAGTAATTCCAGGGCTGTTCCTCCGTGCGGGTATTTTTACCCCTCCCAGACACCAGTATGAGTGTTATCCTGTAACCTAACACGGCGTTTACACGGATACAGCCCAACTACTGAGTCAGCCACTCCATCCAGCTCTCATCTGTTGCGTACGCTGCTTGTAACTGCTGCCATTTTCGTGTGGCACAGACCAGAAATAAGCAGTAACTATTAGCAGCAAACGCTGATGTAATCTTGCAGCTATTTGTAGGAGGAGTTGGAGGACATCACTTAGTAAGTCTGTTGTATGTATTTCTAAAAGGTAATTATCTTATTCATGGGGTATCCTGGGCATTTGTAATTATGAATGTATAGAGATAACCAGAGATCCTAAGATTTTGGAGGGGAGATAATGTCTTAGAGGAGAAACCTAGGAGAGGAGGTAGAGCCTAATTATGCTGGCAAGTTCTGAGAGCAGTGAGACGAAACAAACCGCGTTTAGCGAGCCGTGTTATTCCCTTTGTTTCTAGCTGAAGTATTTCCATCTGTGCCCTGCTGGGGACTTTTAAACCGGCAAAGTTAAATATGTGTTGTCCCAAAAAAGCAGCTTAGGTTGCAATTGCAAAGCTGCTACCAGCCCTGCAGGTGGTTGGAATGTCTGTGCCAGCAGAGGACAGTGCCGGTACATCTCCTGCCTAATGAGCATACCTGTACCTTCACTCGCCACTTGATCTCTGGGGTTGTAAAGCTGCCCCACATACATTCGTGATGCACCTCATTGGGTTTATGTGTAGGTAAATGAAATAGAGAAAGGCAGTTACTAAAGCCTGGATGCTCTTACCTGGTATTTCATGCTTTCTCCTGCAATTCTGCATTTAGTAGGTTGTTTAAATCTCATGGTTTCAGGTTTGGTTTGGCTTTTGCTAGGAAGGAGCTTGTATATGATGCCAGAAGGTTGTCTGTCTTTCGTGGCTCCCTGTTACCATCAAAAACATGTGGTGCTAGGAATTTAAACATGAGGAGCGTGCTATTCTTGCATTCTCTTCACTTGGATGTTTTACCTCCCACGTGTCAGGTAGTAAGAGTTTGTGGCTGTTCCTCTTCAGTGGTTGATTGACAAAATGCATAGACTTGTGGAATGTGCTGTAAAAAATATTGAGCGTTGTAACCTCACATTGTGCCCTTTTAAACTTTCTCCTTTTCTTAACAAAAACAGGTGAGAGATTGTCCCTAGGGTTGGTTTGTCTTTAGAAAGCAAACGTTTTAATGATGCCTTTCTGATACAAGCCCTACTTTTGAAAAGCTGCCCAAATCTAGCAGAATTTGAGCACTTTTGGCACAAAGTAAATGTTAGTGTGCCATTCACTGGAACTTCTCTGCAATGGAAATGAACGCATACAGTGGTTTATTAACTTAACTCATGGAAGCATTAAATAGAGCATTAGCACAAATCAGTTACGTCTTTAATTTTTAAATTAAGTTGTATTTGATCAAAGTCTTCGCATTTATTTGGGTGCAGGAAGGTCTGCTCTCTTTCCCATTTCTCTATGTTTTATCCATCTGCCTCTATATCAGCTACTGGGTGACAATGGCTTGGAAAGAAACACTGGTTATTCCCTCCAGTGGAATTAGGAGATTAGAAGTAGGGAAGCAATAAAGATTTGCATTCTTATTAGGGTTTAGATTTGGGGTTCTTTGTAAATCTTGCTGCCGTAGGCTTTTCCTTGGAATCTAAAATGTGGAAACAGCCCAGTAAAGCTGTGCTGTTGTCTCACCCCTTCAAGGAGCATGCAGGTATTTTATGTATCTTTGTATCTTAAGCGATACCACAGTAGTTCTTAATTAAGAAATGGGTGATGAGCGTTAAGAAATAGAAATGATTTAATTTCTCAACAGCTCTTTGAATCTTTCTGTGTACATCAAAGGAAACTGGTATCAGCATCACCAGTTCACTGAAAACTGTGGTTTCTGTGATGAGATAGCGTCATAGAAGAAAGTTATCCGTGCTAAATTATCTGTGCTCTGACAGCACGCTGCAACTTTCTTAGTATTCTGGCCCCTGGGGCAGAATCTTCAGCAAATTGATAAAGCTGAAATTTTCCAGGCAAATGAATTTGCCTAAAACATGTCCTAGGCTCATTGTTGAAAATCAGTGCCTCGTCTGCTTTTTCTCTGTATATTCTATTTTTAGTACCTCATGGCAGAGTATGGGGCGGGATGGAAGGGGTCCTTGTGAATGAGAGGAGATCTCATTTACTTCTGCAAAAGTAATTTCGTGTATTTAATGGCTCTTTTTTCTTTCTGTTGCAGACTTGGAATATGGCAACTCATATGAAATAGAATATATGGAGAAAATAGGCTCCTCTGTGCCTGTAAGTTCTCACTTCCATTTCCATTCATTTGCATTCCCGTGTCATAATACACTATCCTGATAGTGCCGTCAGCCTCACTCCCTCTTAAATTAATTATAATGTGCCTGCAGCAGATTTGCCAAACCAGTTCCCTTGAATTGGCATAACTGGGGTAAATTGCATGTGCTTTGTTGTCCTGTGTCCTGTAGAGCTTGTTCCATTTTGTTATTTAAGTCAGCATCATAGTAGTTCTTCCTGGAGATGAAAAACAGATCAGTATTTCCAGCAGTGTAGAGTGCAGAGCTGTCTACAGCAGCTATTGAGCTGTCTTAAGAAAATGAGAGCAAAGCTTGAAAGAAGAAGGAGAAAATACAGAATGAATGTGGACTGCGGAATGCCGTACTGTATGTTATCAGCTGTTTTGCCTTACCTCTATTTAAATCATGGGCTTGATAGCTTGACTAGGTCCAACGGGGCTATATCCACAGGGGAAGTTAGAAAGTCAAGCGTGCATGTCAGGTGCTTAAACTGATGAGAAGTTTCAATGAATATTTTAGTAACACTTCAGTCAGGGGATGCCTCCTGCCTGACAGGACCAGAAGTCTGATTAACCCCAAAGTGGGAGAAGAAAAGCTATTACGAAGAGTGAGGTGTTTAGGTTTTGTTCTTTAATGGTTTCTTCCTTAAAGGGATCACCTCAGTGTCAGTTAGCATAGACTATATTACACCCTTATGTTATTAGTTGTCTGTCAAGTCTTTTGGTCACCTAGGGCTTCACTGACTTGAATTAGCTTTAGTGGAGATTGGTTGAGTTGCTTAATGACTCTTTCTTTTCTTGTTGCCAGCAGGATGACAGCACCCCGAAGAAACAGTCTTTATACCTAATGTTTGATGCACAGCAGGAGAGCCCAGTCAAATCACCTCCCATCAGACTGTCTGAGTCCACAACACCGTGCTCAGGGTATGTCTCTGCAAGCAAATTGAGCGCTGGAAAAGGATGGAAGGGAAATGGGCTAACATCATAGCACATACACAGGCAATCCTGCCTCTCTCTGCCTCTGTGTTGCTGACTTGTTTGTTTAAAAATAGATTTCCATCTGTGTTCATATGTGACAGAGAATAGAGGGCAAAGGTACAGAAGTTTTGTAATGGGAAGGAATAAGGACATGTATTTCTACTTAATATTCTTATTAAATAGACTCACAGAGGCGACTGTTTCACTAGACAATGGCTTCCTACTCACAGCTTTATTTCAGATACTGAGGTCATTTCTGTATCAATCAAGAAATCTCCTAATTGCAACTTTTCCCTTGGCCTTTCCTAGATATGTTTTCTGAACAAGGAGCCTGGTTCATAAGAACAGGATGTGGGGGTTGTATTTGCTTTCAAAAACCTTGCTTGTTAAGGATGTCTGTTCTTGTTCGTGCAAGTTGTTTGTTGGGAGAGGGGTAGGGCACAGTGAGGAAAGAGTGAAAAGGCAAGTGAGAAATATGTAAGGAATGTGTGTAAATAAAGCCAGCTCCTTTCTGATGGAGCTGGCTTTATTTAGATGACTCTGGTGCAATGCTTTGAAAGGGTGTTGCAGAGTGTTATGAGATATGATATGAAGTTGAGTTGAAGCAGTGTGAGTATATGTATAGATATACACATGTAAGTCATGAAGAGGACTCGCTTGGTTGTTACCAGAGGTGGAATTGTAAGAACCTTGTGCTCCACCCTGAAAACACGTACACAATCATCTTCCAGGTCAAGTTTTGAAGACCCTGAAGCCCAGCAATCCTCTGGGATGAAAATACAACATCCAGCTTCCCGAGTCCTAGCTGCCAGCCAAGAAGCACACTTACAGTCACCTGACAAGTCAAAGCAGAAAGATCTAGAGCCTATGACCCTAGGGACGGCTCCAGAGGCTATTGAAATAGTAAGTAATTCATGATAAGGGTTTGGGAATCATTTTCCTACAGAAATTTCTCATGTCATATAAAGGCAGATCTTGAAAGTGGAGTGAAACTCAACGTGATACTTGAAGATTTTGGTAGCATAATGTGGTAGGGCTCAAATGAGTCCAGCTGATGGAACTGGAGGAATTCAAAACAACTTTCTGAATTCTTACAGTAAATCAACATTTTCTTGTGATAACCGATTGCAAGTTGATACTTTGAAGTGTTGGGGTTTTTTCTCACACAGGCCTTTCTACACTGTGTTTTAACCCAATATTTGAAGAAATATTTTGTGTATAAAATAAGGGGGTTGATTGATACGAACATAGGGACATGATTGTTGCATGTACTGTGAAATTGCAAGATTTTGTTGGTAAAGGACAGGTACCCTTTCACATTTTCCTATAAACTGTTAACTGTATTGTTGTCATCCGATAATGTAAAATTCACTTCTTTGATCATTAGGGCTCATTCCAGTTTCCAGTTAAATCACTTTTTTTTTTCAGTGGTTGAATTCACTTTTTTCTCTGGGTTGGACTTGAATTAGTGGTGAGCTCTTCCTTGCTTCCCACCTGTGCTGTGTCCAGGTTTCAGAGCATTGGTTCTCAAATCCAGGAAGGTTCCCTCCAGGCTTCCACTTTTGCAGGCAAACTCGTTTTACAAATGCCTACAGCACTAGGCATGACAAGCTACATGACAATATATTTACTGGGGAGTCAAAACAAGAAGAAGCTGACTTAAATACTGTGCTTAATTTGTATTAAGGATGCGGTTGATACCATCTCACAAAACAATTTTTATGAGCTTCGAATACTTTCCTCACTGCAGGGAGTTTTGGGTACTCAAATCCCAGTGCTCTCGTTTGTGTCATTCTAATTCCAGTCTCCTATTGTGTATTTATCCTGATCACATTATGATTGTGAACATAACTTAGTTTATCCCCAGTAAGCAGCAGAAGACTTTCTGAAGACTGCAATACCAGTCTTGCAGAGGATCCCCTCAGTTTTGGTGGTCTTCAAAGCTTTTGGACTGCTTTAGAGATGCCTGAGCTGAACATGAGCTGTTTTATGAACAAAACCTATGGTAACTTTGAAAACTTAAAGCATCAAGAGTGGGCTGTGGTCCATGATTTGAGAGCCATTGCTTTAGAGGTCCTGTTTCATGTTAGTCTTTGAAATTTTACTCAGTTTTTGAATTAGGAAGAATTGTTCTTGATGTTCATCTGTTACCTATGAATGATGTATTCAAAAGTAGTCTTCAGTGGGGCATGAAATTACTAGGAATCAAAACACCTATGTTGCTTGTGGCCTGAACTACTTGGACAAAGTCTCTGTTGCTTATTCTATATCCTCCTTACCCTTCAGGCATCTCCTGAAGACTCCTTTGTCTCTGCTGATGCCCTTCTCAATAGGATATCTAAGAAAACCTCAATATGTGAGCAGCCTGAGTATCTAGATCCTGACTTAGCAGAAAAGAACCCCCCAGTATTTGCTCAGAAACTTCAGGTTTGTAGCAGAAATATAAGTGTCACTTGTCTTTAAGTTTCTCTATACACTGCTATAGAAAGGGGTGGGGGGAGGCTTGGAAGGGAGGTGGGATAGAAGCAGAATAGTGGCTTGATTCTTCCCAAAGTAACTTTGGCCTTTCAGGAATGTAAGGAGCAGAGATATTTGATTTCATTCATATAATACATAATCCTAAATTTCATCCACACTTTCAGCTATACCATTGATGTGTCTATTTTGCAGAAGTCTTTATAAAGCACATCTTTTAAGCTTGAACACAGGACTCGGTGTGTGGAGAGTTGTCTTGCAAGCTGGCCTTAGTGGGTCTGTATGCAGAGATTCATTTGCAGAGATTTAGGCCCTAATTCTGCTGAAGTGAAAATTAGGCTTTATTTTCCTAGTAATCTAATACAGAATTTGGCATGACTTCTTTTAGGAAAAGCAAATTGATCTGCAGACCTGTATGTCAGGGTGTATTTTCTAGCGTATATATAGTGAAATTTTAAGACAGCAAAGGTTGAATTGAGAGCAGCAGCTGGTATAAATCCACATAAAATGAAAATGAAAGGTGAGGAGTCTGTGAAAAACAGCTCTACCTTTGGAAAACATTTATTTTACCCGAAGTTTTGTTCATCCTTACCCTAATAAATGCTGTTTTGTCTATTCAGCTACCTCAAAATTAACCAGAAACTGGAGTTTTGTATCAATGTTCCAGTCATGAAAGAAATATGGGGTATGTTTGTCACCCAGGAATTGTCAGAATTTTGCATTAAAATGTAACGTTCCATTTTCAGATGTGTTAAAACATTTTTGCTATGTTCTTAATACTTTTTCTTCTACGGATTGCTCACAACCAAACACTTGACAGGAGGAGTTAGAGTTTGCTGCAATGAGGATAGAAGCATTGAAACTAGCCAGGCAGATTGCCCTGTCTTCTTTCTGCTCCAAGGTATCTGGTTTGTGCCTGCCATGTGTGTATGAGTGTGCACAGACTAAGAAACCGAGTGCTGCTTTGTCTTTAACAAGGTAACTCAGGCTCTCAGAGTGCAGTGCTAAGCTGTGCGCACCCCAGTGTGACACCAAAGAGCATGCTGAAAGCAGTGCTGCACACAGAAATGCTGTCACCTGCTCCTCTCACACAGTACTGCTACCTCCAGGGTAACAAAAAGCAAATCTGAAGGCAAGAAGCAGGCCCAGACCTTTTGCAAGAGACAAACCTTTTGCAGTCCAGGTGGCTGTTTGTCATTTGTCTACAGCAAGATCTGTCCTAAGATGTTTGATGGCAAAGCAATACCAAACCTGCTTCTCATAGAGCTGATACAGATTTTGCCCGTAGGGACATTTTGCCTTTTGTTGGTATTTTCAGCTTGAAATCAGACCCTTTGACCCCTCAGAGTCTAGAAGGGAGAAACTCAATCATCTCTGCCTTCAGGCATCTGAAGAAAGGGACACTACAGTAGGTTTTAAAGGGCTATAGAACTCCCAAGGGAATAAAAAGGCCTCCCAACACAATGTGTCTGTGTTCATGAATCACAGAATCAGAGAATGGTTTGTGTTGGAAGGGACCTTAAGAACATCCAGTTCCAACCCCAGGGACACCTTCCACTAGAGCAGCTTGCTCCAAGCCCCATCCAACCTGGCCTTGAACACTGCCAGGGATGGGGCAGCCAATTCCTTGCAGATTGATGGGTGTTTTAAAGTATGTGGCTAGAATCTTTTATTTCATCAAGAAAAAAAAAGTGCCATTGTCTCCATTAGAAACCAAACTTCATTAATTAGGAACAGAAAAAACAAAGGAGTAAAAGCTAAATACCGTTTTCCTGTGTGAGGACTAGCAGCTCTATGACTGCATCCCCTTGCTCCATCACCCTGGGTGTCAGAAGAGGGTGAGGGAGGATCCTCTCTACCTCCCTATTCTCTCTTTACCTCTTTGTCCTCCCTGAACTGTGCTGCAGCAGCACCTCCAGCACCAGGAAACACTCAAGATGAGACACACAATAATACCTAGATGCTCTTTAAAGGTTATACGCTATACATCTGCATTTTTGCTACTGGCCAGCAGTTTAGAAACTCACAAATTGTACAATTTTAGACTGAAAAGAGGAGGTCTGGGTGTTTGTGAATCAGGGAAGATTCTGAGCTGCAAAACTGTTACAATGTGTATTTGATTTTGTGCAGTTATAGTTTAAAGATGCTTTTTAACATCATTAAAGCATTTTCTTTTATCTAGAACAAGCTTATGAACTGCATATAGCTTAGAAACAGGGACTGGATTGTATGTTTTAGAAAGTGCATTAAAATGTGTAACAAAGATAGCAGAAATGATAAGCAGAGATGAAGAGAGAATGAGCAAAAACTTCATCCTCTGACGGGGAATCAGACACATCTGAATGTTCATGAAGCCCCATGTTGGTCCAGTCATAGGAATGCTTTTAGCTGGATGCTGTGGGTGTCATGCTGGGCTGGGAAGGACTCCTGTCCTTGTATGACTTTACTATTTCAGTGGGAGGTTGCTAATGTTAAATTAACCTATGATGACAGCCCTTGTGACCTACAGCGGCCAATGGCCTGGATTAAGGTTAGCAGAACCCACCAGATGATTGCAGTGACTTAAACTCGGATGCTAACTGGCAGAGTTCCCTTCGGTTGGCTGCCCTCAGTTCTTTCCTTAACGTTGTATAATTACATTTAACATTTGCTAAACCATTACAGGATGGGTAACAAGAATAGGATGCTAAATAAAGGCACAAGCACTTGTTTATGGAAAGTTAGGTCAATGCAAAACGCAAGCATTTTCTGCTAGGACTAGGGCTGAGAATAAGGATGTGCAGTTTGCTGTTCTGAGGCAGAGGGAAGTTATTTGGCCTCTCGACAGATTTCTCTCTTCCAGCGCTGAGACTAATTGACACTTCTATATTAAACACTCACCATTAGGACATCCCATGGCCGATTTTAATCATAGCATCACAGAATCCCAGACTGGTTTGTGTTGGAAGGACCTTAAAACTCATCCAGCTCCAACCTCTGCCATGAGAGGGACACCTTCCACTAGAGCAGCTTGCTCCAAGCCCCATCCAGCCTGGCCTTGAACACTTCCAGGGATGGGAAAGGGAAGAAAACAGAACAGAAAGCTGATAGTGTTTGTGTCCACCACCCTACAAGTGCTGAGGTGATGTAGGGTTGGGTGGTGAAATGAGATCCAAGGAAAGGAGAGAAACTGAAGGGAAAGGGATTGATGCAAATGTAATTAGTGCATCACAGCTTGGAGGGGGCTCTTGTGGTAGTGAAGGAGGAATATTTCCTTCAAAGAGGGATATCATTCTTCATAGGAAAACTTCGCAGGCAGGGAATTTTATGCTTGTACTTTGCTTGCTCCTCAACATATTTGCAAGCACAAATAGGTCTTATGTTGCCTCCCTTGACCTGTCCGCACACAAATCAATTAGTTAAAAGAGTAGATCACTTGATATGCACCCAGCACTATTTGAGTACTTGTAAACGGCAAGCCAGTTTTCATCAGGGCTAAATACATATTCCTCTGAACAGTATGATAAAAATGAGTTTTCATTTTCATTCCAGTGCCTTTCCCTTTTTTCTTTCCATTTGACCTTCTGGACTTGAGGTAACGCAGCTGGTTCATCAATGTGCATTTATTCCCTTTCTGGCCAGATATCTGGTTTCTGTGAAAGATGCTGGGAAGAGAAGCAGCATCGTGTTGGGCTCTCATATATTTACACTAAGATTGCAGTGACCTACATTTAGTAGCAATTCCCCTGCAGAATTTAGTCTTTCTGTGTGAGGTTCAGTGACTTATAAATCCCTATTCTCATTATTACACCACTTAACTGCTTACCTTCTCAGCAATTAAGTGTTCAGCTTGAAGCATTGACATTTATTTTGGGTAATAACATCACCCTGTTGATCAGGTTACTTTATTTTCTCAGCATAAGATTATTTGGAGGCAGCAAACAACAGCCCCTGGATCGTCCATCGGTTTGGAGCTGTGTAAAACTGGGTTTAGAAGTGAAACCATGAGGTCTTTTACTGGTTCCTCCTTGTGCGAAGCGCTTCCAGCATTAGGACAACACTGGTTGGGTCACCGCCACAAGCGTTTCTGCTCAGTGGTTAAATTCCAAGAGTTTTTGCAGTCATCTGTGTCAATTTTGAGTAGTTTTGCATGTCATTATTGCTATTATTTTGTGCAATTCACTCAAATGCAAGAGGGAATTAAAGAAATATTAGAGGTGCTTTGAGCACCGTATAAATATGTATTCAGTGCTTTAAATATTCTGTTTTCTTTAAAATATTCATCATCCTGGCAATACTTTGACACATTTTAACATGAGCTTGCGGAAACTTGTGTTTCTTTTGCCGCAATTAATGTTTCCCAGCAACCTCTTTATGAGGTCCAGCAAATGGAGCTGCAGGAGGCTTTTGAAATAGGATACATCCAGTCCAACAGATTGATTTTCAGGATGGCCTTTCTTTTAAGGACAGCTTTGATGATCTAATGGCTCTTTTTTTATCTCTCAGTTATTCTTGCCTTATGTTTGACAAGGAAACAAAGTACATTTCTTGAAAGCTGGGGTACTGAGTTGAACCATCAGTAGTCTTATTTATTGACCCTTTCACCTTTACTCGGATCTGTGGACAGCACCATGTGTCTTTGTATTTATGCATTTACACAGATGTCTGAGCTTGTGTCCCAGCTGTGTTTTTTCCTGTACAGTTGTATACTGGGAGACACTTTCAAGTATACAGGCTATTATTGTACAGTTATCTATTATAACTTTGATAGATCTTGTGTAGGAAAATCCACTGGATTTGAGTTTGTACCTCCTAATTACACTCGATTCGATCCTTATATTGTGTGTTCATGGCTAAATGTAGCAATAAAAGGGATGGCCTGCTCCATAAAGAGGAGAAGTAATAGTCAATTCCCTCCCAGGTTTAAAAATGAACAAAAAATACAAAGCAAATTAGTGAAAGCCTCTTATGTAGACACAGCGTGATGAGGTTAAAGTACTGTTTAGCTTATTCTTGCTCCCATTAACTTTGCGTGCCTAGTCTTTTAATGTTGCTCATGTGGTTTCTCCATGTTGTCCGCAGATGTGGTATCTGAAACATCTACTCCTATGTTTATCTCAAGTGAGCATTGTATGTAGTTTTTAATACAGCTTCCAGTGGCAATACGCAGCCAAGCACCTGGGTTAGCTGGTTGATGGTGAGATGCAAAGCATAGGCAGGTGAGACAGGGACATACAGCTGTGGTGGGGCACTTGCTGCAGAGGGGTTTGCTATGGATGGTGTCTAAAATGTGGTGATTTTATTGTTTAGTATCTTCCTAAGTGTCTTTTATAGTCTCCTTGAATTGAATGTGCTGTAACTCGGATTGGTTGTATCTAGAGTTGTTGGCAAGACATCTCTTGCATCTCAGCGACACATACCTCTTTTCTGCTCTCTTCTTCCTTTCACATGCTGCTCTCTTAGTGCATTAATCTGGACATGAGCAAAATTAGCAGCTGCAAATAAAACCTCCTTTAACTTACTAATCGCATGGTAAATACCGGTGGTGCAGCAATGTCACTTGTATATTCACACTTTTAATGTAATGCTGTTTATGGTAGATACAGTATATCGGCAGGTCAGACGTAAGAGAGCTCTCCTCTTGCTTCTGGTTTCTTACTCTACTTATACGGATGCAGAATTCCTCTTAACAAGCTCTCTGCCTCCAGTTCTAACTCCCTCTGCTGTCATGCATTTCTTGTGGAAGCTTCGATGAAATTTCCACATCAGAAAGTAGTAAGTTTTCTAATATAGGACTTTAAAATATCGGTGGCAAGGTGCTGCCTTTATTTCCTCTCTATAAGGGTAATATGGCTCTCTTGATGCTTACCATGCCTCTTAAATGTGTTTTATGATTGCTACATTCAAAGCTCCTTGTCAGTTTTGTTGCTGATAAAACTTAGTAGTGCGCAGGTTTCTAGTGCTAAGCCCAGGACCCTGCTACCTGGCACAACAGCCAGAGAACATATGAGCTAAACACGTATTTAATGGTTCATTTCTTTGTATTTAAAAAAACCAAACACACAGAGAGAACCTGCTATCCCAGCAGATGTTTCCATCTCTAAGAGCGCTCTGTACTCCCGGATCGGCGCCGCGGATGCAGAAAGCACCACGGGTCTCCTCTACCCCCAGCAAGACTTAGACTCTGCACTACGACTCGCCAGAGCAGAGGTAATTTTCTTCCCAATTTGGAAAGAGAAAGGAAATATGTGCCCCTTGTGGTTTTCTTCTTTCCTGTGTTCTCCCAGTCTGTTCGTATTATGGACACTTGTTCTATTCTTGAAGCCATTCTCCACAGTGCTAAAGCCACGCTAGAGGCAAAAGGCACTGTGCTGTAAGTTTTACTTTATGGGACGTTAGTGGAAAGCAGACATTATATGAACATAAATCTGTATTGGGCTTAACCTCAAGTGTACTCTGCGCATCTTGACATTGCTGTGTAAGTATATGAAAATAGTCAGGTGCTAGAAATAGGTGTAAGATAGTATATTTTACAAAGCTACATATGAGATTAGTCTGACTAATAGTAGCAGTTTAAAAATGGGTGCAGTCTAATGTTAGAGTATTCCAAATTTTATGATAGTGTGAAAGGAGCATAAAGAAACACAGACCTTTGGGTGTAAAATGTCATGGGCTATCAGCCCTAAATGCACACACAGAAGCAGTAGAGCCCTCTTGGAGGACAAACCAGGGGAGATGTTCCAAGCCCCTGTACAGAAATGGTTAAGGTTTAGCACCAGGTCAAGTCAGACACAGTGTAGTGTGGTATAGTATTTCTTGACACGTGTCCTTGTTATAATCAGGAATGAAATATGAAACAAGAACACTGAGTTAGCTTTTCAAAACTTGAGTGTGATTTCACATCCAAACTTTTTTAATTGCACCGCTAAAAGAGCAAAAAATCATTGGGATGCTTATATTTGAACTTGGAAACTGTACCCGTGTTAATGAGGATTTGATACTGAATTGAGTATTGTACAGCTATTTAATTTCCCCTTTAATGGATCACTTGATTTTACTGGGTTTTTCTTCCCCTTTGCTTTCTTTGTTTCAGATTGTGTCCAAGGAAAGGGAAGTATCTGAGTGGAAAGAGAAATACGAAGAAAGCAGAAGGGAAGTGATGGAAATGAGGTGGGTTATTAACTTGTCACTGATCACACACTGACACTGAGTCTCCTTTCAGCCTGCGGACAGCGCGCCAAGTACCATGATTATACAACTGTTTGGGTTAGCTGAATTTGTTCAGTTATTTTTAACTGCAGGCTTTGGGATGATCCTAAACTGATACTTTATCTTTGCTCTGCATGGTTGGCACCCATTATGTGGCATGGTGGGCTCCATTGTTTAGGGTTGTCATTGCAAACTTCTGTGTTGCTAATCTCGTTTGCATCATCAAAATACTGAGATAGGAGAGGTCTTAATCTAATGATAGCAAAGAATTGCCTCCAGTTTGTGCTGCGAATTCTCTCATGGATTGCATGGGGATGTTTCTGTTGCCTGTGTGGATGAATCCACCTACAGAACTGGCAGAGTTCTAAACATGCTAATTTAAAATCCACTCTCCACAAATAGTTTTGCCAACAGAGAAAGACTGTGAAGGTCTGCAGATAGGTATGAGTAGTACAGGATATTATTGGAAGTAGTTTCTTTAACAGTAAAAGACAAGAACCCAGTTGCCTGTAGAAAACCATTTCTTGCAAAGGAACCGCACTGGCATCCGAGTCTTGACTTTCAAGGAGATTCTGCACCCTTTTCTTTGAACTGAGTTCATTTTTCAGTTCCTGCACATACAAAGCTTGATTTTAGTTAAGCAATAGTTACCTTGGATTTTGCTCATTTTACCAATGAGCTTGACCTGCTCATCAATGGGAATCAGAGAAAATTATCACTTGCAAAAGAGAATGTATAAAGGTATTTCACGGGGTCTTTAAAGCCTATTATTTCCTACTTTTAGACAAACAGAAAAGCCATCCCCTCCTTAATTCATAAATAAAAGGAAACTATCACAGTATTTTAGCATCCTTCTTTTCAGTAATAATGTCTGCAATTGCTTCCGAGACAGAATTTTCTTCAACATCACTTCTAGCACCTAAAATTTAATATCTTGGAGGTTTAAAGCTAAAGCAAATGAGCCGTGCCAAGTGATGACCTGCATATGTAATTCCTGCTTATATCCAGGAAAACTGCCCTCTGGGAGTAAGGGTAAAAGGGAGCTGTGGTGCAGAACTCAGCGAACGCCAGCATGGATGCCAAGAGTGGCACATGGCAGGTTTGAATAGTGCAGCACAGGGCTTGGAGCCAGAACTTAAGAGAAGCATCTGCAGAAGGCAAGGGCTTTAGTTCTTTCAGAAAGCATCTCAGCACCCTGCTGAGCTCTCTCCTGTCTTGTGCTCTGGTTTGGGCAAGGAAACAAAACCCTGGCATTGCCCTCAAATGCATAATGAGGCAAAGCGGAAAGGAGCTGCTGCAAGCACTCAAACCAAGGAAGCAAAACAAGGAATGAACAACATTAGGAGCTGTGTAAGAAATGTCTCAGCGCTCACTACACACTCGAGTGCAGTATTTGGTCTGTTCTCTGGGTGCACGCGTCTCCTGGCTGTCAGTGGGCACTGACAGAGGTTGCTTATTCCTTAGCGAAAGGAGAGCAGGGGCTGACACGAGTGGCTGGCACAATGTAGATGTGTACCTTCCTCTTCCTCATAGCAATTTGCTTGCGTGTCTACACCATCCATAACATTTGATTTGGAAAAAAAAAACAGATTATCTAAGCCAAATTTCCCACAGGTGCATCCCTGGAACACATGGGTGAAAAAAACCCTGACTAATATTGTCGCAAAATGCTAAAATATGCATGTGTGCATAAAGAAAGATTTCTCTTGGAAGATTAAATGTTGAAACTGTCCACATGTGGGCAATTAGAGATGTAGCCATTAGGTATCACAGAATGATAAGCAAGGAGTGAAGGGATTTATCTGGACTTGTGCAAAGCGTTCAACATTGTCCTGCATGACATCCTTGTCTCTAAATTGGAAAATATGAAGTTGATAGATGGTCTACCTGGTGGATAAAGAATTGCCTGGATGGTGGTGCTCCAAGAGTTGTGGTCAGTGGCTCACCGTCCAAGTGGAGACCAGTAACGAGTGCTGTCCCTCAGGGGCTGGTGTTGAATTAAGTGCACACTCAGCAAGTTTGCCAACACCACCAAGCTGTGTGGTTGCTGTCGACACGCAGGAGGGAAGCAATACCATCCAGAGGGACCCGGACAGGCTGGAGGGGTGGGCCTGTGTGGGTGTCATGAAGATCAACAAGACCAAGTGCAACATCCTGCCCTGAGTTGGGGCAATTCCAAGCACAAATACAGGCTGAGGGAGACTAGATGCAGCAGTCCTGGGGAGAAGGACTTGGGCTATGAGAAGCTAGAAAGAGATAATGTTATTTCACTTTGATGCTGACTGCCATAGTGCAGTCTAGGCTGGGAAGTGCTGTAGTCATGAAAGTGTTTAATGTCATGTTCATTGCCCTGAGTCCTTGGCTTCATTTTCTAAGATGATAAAGCATCCTAAAAGTGTCTGGTGTTACAAGGATATGACACGGCTTTAAAAACCTTGTTGCTTACAGCAGGCTTTCAAGGTAATCCTCTTTGGACATGAAACCAATCCCTACCTTTTAGGGGAAGACCCTTGCAGCTATCTTTGCTCTCAAAAGTATCATTTATGGTAAAAAATAAAAAAAAAAAAAAAAAGCAAGTTACAACAACAGGACCAACAGCAGGGAAAAGAGCATCCAAGCAGATCCCAGTGGAGGCAATAGCTGTAGCTGTGCGGAGATGGGTTCTTGCCCCAGGACCAGAAATGGTTTCTACCTGAAGCCTGAGCAAGGTCAGGGGATGTGCAGGTGTAAAGCCCTTGCTCTGCTGAGTGTTCTACAGAAGCAGGGCAAGTAATACCCTACTGACCTTTGGGTCAAGTGCCCTTCTCAGGGGGTTTCTTGACTCTTGATTGTGGTTCATATTCGTGCAGTGCTGGAGTTACTGCCTTAGTTATCCTGGAGCTCCACAGGTTTCTCCTTTCCTTACTGACTTTTGTCTCAGCATTTTCCCACATCCTTTCTGTAACCTCACCAAGTTCTCTAAAATGGAGCAAGTGAAAGCAAGCTTAGGCTTCAAAAGAGACGTATTCAAATACCAGTGAGCTAGTTTGAATATCCACTTCTGATGAAGTGTGGGGTAATTTTGTTTTTCATAGACAGTCCTGTGTGGCTCATGAATCAAAGCACAGATCAAGCTAGTCCCATTTCATTAGCTTTATTTGGCTCTGGGAAGGGATGGATCATCTTTCTAAATCACATTTAATCTGCTTAGTTTGGCTAACCTCTTTTCAAGAAGGGAATTCAAAGCCTACCGTGAGTAGTGAAATAAAATAGTCTTAAAAGTTACATTTTGCCACTTCTGTTTCAAAAACACATTTGGGAACTAGGACACGATGGATTTTGTGCTACATAATTGGGTATTTTGGTCTTGTTCTTTGAAGTGCTAATGGATCGTGTAGTTACTTTTGGAGAGTGGAAGATTAGATATATTTTGGATGAGGTCCAGTTATATTTCTGTTGGGTTTACTTGCTACAGATTATAACTTTGGTTAACATTTACTTCTGAAATAAGCAAACACAAGCATGGGGAAGTGGGGAGAGAGTGATGGAAAACTCAGACTCTGCAACTCTTGGATTAGACCAGTGTGCTTATGTTTATATCAAAGCCATGATTGGTAACGGGCATGCTTCAAGTAACGCAGTTTGTTTCAAAGCAATCGCTTATTCTGCCCCGAGCTGTATTGATTTACATGGAGAATTAAAAATCAGGTGCAATGTTTGAACTGTCAGTTTCATTTGTTATTCAGGTATAAAAGTTGGACTTTAATATGCTCCTCTTAAAATGCTGTAGTTCAGTTCCTGAGTAGCATTATTTTCTAAGTAAACATTAGCAATTATGGTGTTCTGTGATGTTTATGAATTCTGTGATGTTTGCCAAAAGCTTTTTGGTTTTTTCCCTCTTACAGGAAAATAGTTTCAGAATACGAGAAGACGATTGCTCAGATGATAGGTAGGTGTTTCTGCTCTGATTTTCTGCTGTCCTCCACTCTGATTTTCTGAAGAGAGCCTAGAGATGTGGTTCAAGTCTGTGGGCTTCATTCTGATGCTGGCTACATCTGCCGATGCTGCTGGGACTTGGGAATGCATCTGAGGACACCAGTGTGTGCTGCCAGGCTGTGATGGAAAGCCAGGGCTTTGTTTTACAGAAAGTAGGCCCCGAGGCAGTCCAGGTAATACAGAAAGGTCAGGGCTTTCTCTTCTGCATCAAAGCAAACAGTCCCATAGGAAACATTACAAATGCTTTACCCGGAATTCATGGGTATCTCAGGGAGAGACTGTCAATGACCTAAAAACACTTTAGTCATCCTGGCTGGATGATATCTTGGGAGATACCAAACTTAGCTCTTTACAACAACCAGGATTATCTGTGCTAAGTGCATTGGTCAAACCAAAACCTAGATTAACTCAAATCCCAGTTGAGAGATTATGAAAGGCCAATCCACCTCCTTACTTACTTACTGACGTAGAGATCTCCTTTAAGGTCTATTTTATGACATATTTGGCCTCACAATAATTAGAAAACACCTTTGTTAACAGCATACCCCACCAATAAAACACTACATGAAGCAGCATTTCAAAATCAGCTGTTGCAGGACTCGTGCTTCCTTGGCACAGGAAGTCTGGCCACTGGGATGTGATTTTAAAGCTGCCTCATAAGATTTCCAAAGCTCTTTTCCTTAGCCTGGCTATGGAAAGCACCAGTGGCTTGTGCTGCCCTGTGCTGCTTCAGCTTGAGCTGTCTCCCAGCTGAGTGGGGTCATGGGTTCTCTATGGCCAAAATTGATGGGGAAAGCAGGAAAAGAAGCAGTGGCCGAGGAGAAAGCAGGACTGAGCTCATCTGGGCAAGCTCGAGTAAGGCAGCAAAGAGCTGTGAAATAGTAAAAGCCATTGGGAGGGTCCTCGGAGTTAAACCTGAGCTGTGAGATGCAGGAGAAAAGCGAAGTACATCCATGGGCAGGGAGCGTGAGGAATGCAGCCTGTTTGCACTGTGTTTATTGGGAAACAGAAGGAAATTATTCCTCCTATTCCCCCTGAGAGAGCTGTCACCGAGGGTACAATATGCCAGGAGCACAACGGGCATACCTGCATCTGCTGAAAGCTTTTGAACAGGAAGGATCTTTATTACAGCTGTCAGTGTATCCTATTGGTTTGCCCCTTTTAGATTTGGCGGGCCCCTCATCTGCAGTCAGTACAATGTGACCCCCAAATTTCTTGTTTCTTTTAAATTGTTTTTTTTTTCTTTAGCTAATACTTGAGTTGTATTTATGTTTGTAGCACATTTGCTTATATTTATATAAAGAAAGGGGGGAAAGTAGTTTAATATCTGGTGCTTTTGTTGCCTTCCTGCATCTCTCGGATGATGGTAGACATCCCAGTCTCCTTTTAAGTGAAGGGGAAAATGGGTCTATAAATAAATGAATAAAACAATTTAATAATGATAATAGCAGCAATACCAATAATCATAGTAATGTATGGTGTATAATGATAACATGCCTGGCTTCATTCTTTATGGTGTTATGCCTCTGCTGCTTTCTGTATGTACAACTGAGCCAACTTGCCTGCCTTCTGACGTAGTGTCTGTCGTTCTCATCATGCAAGTGTTAAAGTAGGAGTGTCCAGAGTATGCAAAGAACTTAACTCGTTTTGGTTTACACTCAATGTGTGCTGCTATGGCTTCATCCCTGAGGCTGGCCATTCATATGGGCAAACATAGGAGCTGTCCTTTTTTCCCAAGCATATGCATATAGCAGCAGAAGGGGTTCTGATAATAATTCGAAATCTGGGTTTGAGAAACAGATTAAAAAGAAAATAATCAGGTTGTAAGGACGCAGTGTCACAAGAAGGTGTAGATTAGGGGTCCTAAGGCCAAGGCATACATAGTAAATTCGACCGTTACCGTTTCCTCTTGGTGCAAAGAAATCAAAGATAATTAAAACATTAGGGCATTGATCAATAAGGCAATAGAAAAATCTTTAAACTTCAAATTCAGACTATCAGTCAGAGCCTTTCAAATGAGCTAGGGCAAGGTTTTAGGAGCTATGGCTATAAATAATGTGATTTGCTGCCCATTTGCAAAGGAACTGAAGCAACACCGGTGACACAGAAAGCATGTGTTAATTAGAGCCATATGCAAATTCTACATTAAATGTGAGGCCTCTTCTCCCTGCATTTAATGTAAACTTTTGATCCAGTTGTCCCACTTTCTCCTCTCATTTGTTGTAAATTACTGTCCCTTCTGCTAAAGGGATTTGTTCATCCAAATGCCAGTTGCAGAGGACAGTGATTGTCTGTGTGCTATTTGCATATATTATTCACTGAACTATTATCACAATAATGCCTTCCTGCTAAAGCAAATATGCATTTTAACAAAAGAAATGCTTGTGCTGTTTATTTATATGTTTGTTTAACCTTCCTGAGCTGTTTCTACAGCCCTGTTAGGAGGGCATTACAGAGTGAACCCATTTCACAGAGCCCTTTAATGAATATTCAGGGTGGTTGATACGTTGCCATGGGTATATGTAATGGCTATTAAAAATATTCCATATTAACAATATATAGAATCCCAGACTGGTTTGTGTTGGAAGGGACCTTAAAGCTCATCCAGCTCCAACCCCTGCCACGGGCAGGGACACCTTCCACTGGAGCAGCTTGCTCCAAGCCCCTGTGTCCAACCTGGCCTTGAACACTGCCAGGGATGGGGCAGCCACAGCTTCTCTGGGCACCCTGTGCCAGCGCCTCAGCACCCTCCCAGGGAAGAGCTTCTGCCTAAGAGCTCATCTCAGTCTCCCCTCTGGCAGGTTAAAGCCATTCCCCTTGGCCTGTCCCTACAGGCCCTTGTCCAAAGCCCCTCTCCAGGTTTCCTGCAGCCCCTTTAGGTATTAGAAGCCTGCTAAAAGGTAATTATTGTGATACCATTGTGTATGTTTGCCTAAAAAGGCACTGAAAGTATGCATTGCAAACCATTTCCCTTTGATTTCAAGGGCCGTGGAAGTTCTAGTATTTGCTGTCATATACCTATAGAACCTCGTATTACCCGATTTAGCCTATGCAATTAGTTTGGTGCCACTCTCTCTACAGCCAGCACTTGCAAGCTGTCGGTGTATACACCCCTGTTAGTGGCTCTTTGCAGAGTTTTGTACTGGTGTTTTCACTGTTTTTCCTTTTTTTCTTACACTGCCTCAACCCCCAACATGTTCTTGTGTCTACTCATGATTGGGGATTAAAAAGACCAGGCTTTCCAGGCTGCTGCTGCTTGTGCTACTGCTTTGCTGACTGTTGCCCAAGTTTTGCCCTCACTGCTGCGTGGCACTCACAGCCCCATGGAGCAGAGCCTGTGGAACCCCAATGTTCACTGCACCCCATGCTACTACACACACCAGTCACAGTTCTCTTCCAAAATCCCTTTCCTTGATGGATTTGTAATGTTGGGGTGTTTTTTTTTTCCTGTTAAAAATGTGTCCTTCTCCTTGTACATTGAAATATATAATTAAATTGTCATTATGAAAACCAAACGGATGTTATGCTTTGTGCATTACAAATTGTTGCATTACCTTCTGCTTTCCTAACAATTCCTGATTTTCTGTTTTGCTTCCGTTTTTGTTGCTTCTTGCTATTTGCTTGCAAAAAAACAAAACAGGCAAGCCTGGTAAGTAAAGCTTTTCACCAACTTTCACACCTGCATTTGGCATTTTTCATTTCTTTTGCTTTTGTTCTCTGTTTGCTTCATTCCCATTAAGTAATGTAAGTAATTCTGAGCTGAGCCTGAAAGCGGATCTGCTGCGGCGGTGCTCTGATTCTGTCAGTTTGGATAGTGTTAGTCCTGAGCATCCTGTTGTTATTGCTGGTGAGCCGTGGACAGTGTGTGTTGCAGATGTCGAAGCTACTGAATTGAACTATTTTAATCGCATAACCTCATGAATATCTTTATAAAGAAGTATCTGTAACTGCTTAACCAAGATTTGACTGGCAGAATCTAATCTGCGCCGCTCCACTAAGCAGTGTTCTCATTAAAGCTAAACTATAGCTTAGAAAATATCACATAGATTTTCCTGTCCCCATCCAGCCAGATGTTTTCTGTAGTATTTAACCACTTTGGGTTTAAATGTTTCTTAACTGCGATTATCAGATGCCCCTTCCCTGAGGCTCACTGGAAACTTCCAATTTATATGAAAGTTTCCTTCTTTTCAATTTATATGTCCCCAGTATAAATTCCAGTTTTCTCCTTAAGGTTTAATAAGGGCCTCAGCTCTCTCCATGGACACCTTTAGGATGTAGTGAAAGGGAGAGGAGAAAGGGAGCGTTGGATGCTACCCACCCCTAATTCCCATGTGGAAGTGGGGCTGGGATGAGTATTTGAGGAGTGAGAAGGATGTACTGGGAGGGACAGGAAGAGCTTGGTAGTTCTGAGGGAGTCATGGACGTGTGGAAACAAAAAAGACGGAAGCTGCTAAAATACCACAGACAGCAGAAAAAGGGAAGCTGTGACGTTAAAAGCGTTTAAGTACATTACGTGATCATGCAAACGGATCCCTCCTGCACGGAGCTGTGACAGCAGAGGTTTTGCCAGAGGGCAGGATCCTGCCGGGAAGTGTTTGGGAATTGAGCTAGAGTGTGTGATTAACCACATCGTGTGCTGGAGCACACAAGGGGACGACTTCTCAGGTTTAGAATGAAAGGATGACAAATGGTTTTCTCATTTTTCCTTGAGAATACTTTAATTTTGACATTACAGTTGCTCACAGGGTGCCTTGAAGAAAGCAACATGGAAAAGAATGTTAATTTACTATGAAATGTTGAATGTTATCCAAGTGATGCAGTATTAGAGGGCTCTGGGTTTGTCTGTTCAAGGTGTTTGTTCACCAGTAAAATAAAGGTGATTTCCAGTGCTGCAGACTCAGCGCACCCTGAGAGCTCCTATAGTCCTTTTGGTCTCCTATGCCACAGAGAGCAAAATAACCTCAGGTCAGGCTCTAGCCAAGCAAGATGCTGTGGAGAGTGTGCAGAGGAGCACAGAACATGGCCAACATGAGCATTGCCACTGCTCTGGGATCGGTTAGGCTAGGAAAAAGGTGTAGAAAAGGGGTAAATATGCAAAAGGAAGAGATTAATCTCAGTTTGGGAATTGACATTATCAACTCTGAGATTTCAGAGCTGAGCAGCACTGTGAAATACTTAACTCAGATTAAGATTTCTATTCAAATAAGAACATAAACTCTTGTTTAGTTCTTTATATTCCAACCTGTAAAGGCCTGAATGAACAGTTGTAGCCTCTGAAATGCCCTGTGATTTTTACATGGGAGAACTTATTTTAGTTTCCATCACAAAGGAAAATGGTAATATACTGTCCCTGCCTCAAATTTAACCATACACAGGAGAGGCTTGGAAGATGCTTTCTGCAGACCAGAACTTGGGAATTCTGTCTAGTGTTAGATTTCCTTCCTGCCACTTGCTCTCATTACAGAATGAGAGTTTGCAAAACACTGTTTTTCCAAGGGAAGAATTGGAGTTGAATTCCATTAAACAAAGTGCCTTGTTTGTGAAGATTAGGAGAGATGCCAGGAGATGACAAGCACCTATCAGCAACGGCCCATAATTTATTACCAGTGCTAGTAATATGCATAAATGTCTCTTCCTTCAGCTAGTGCATCTTCAGGCCAGTGAGGGAAATCCAGCATCAGCCTTTTTCATGGGAGCAGCAGAGTTCAGAGTGCAGTAAATCAACAGTACAGACTTACAGTCACATTTTTCCCCACCATCAAAATATTTAGCTATAATGTATTTAGCAGCCTTTTTCCAAAACGGGATCGTGTGGTTTTTATAAAAGTGACTTTTATTTGAATCCTCCAAACTTACTAATCCACAACATAGAGCACGGTAGAGTTGAAACTATAGATGATAGTGAAATCAGTGTTCTTTTACTACTATTACCCTTCTGAAGATGACTGTTTTCTCTCCCCCTCTCTTCTTTCTAACAGAGGATGAACAGAGAGAGAAATCTGTCTCCCATCACACCGTCCAGCAGCTGATAGTGGAGAAGGAACAAGCGTTGGCAGATCTGAACTCAGTGGAGAAATCACTGGCAGATCTTTTCAGGAGATACGAGAAAATGAAAGAAGTATTGGAGGGGTTTCGGAAGGTGAGTCCTGTTAAAGTCCCCTCCTTCAATGAGCAACATGGAGCAGGGTCCTGCGTGTACCAGTTCTGCTTAACAGAAGGCAGGGCTTTGTTTCCGGTTGAATCTGATGCACGTTAGAAGGCATTGTGCTGCGGAAGGGAGAACGTGACTGCTCATTTGTGTTTTCCCTTTGGATCAGCTTTAAAAATAGAGATTTTCCACAGGAGCAACTTGCTTCCATCTGTGACATTGTGATTGCAGTAGGTGATGCATAATCTGGAGAGGGGCTTTTGACAAGGGTACATAGGGACAGGCCAAGGGGAATGGCTTTAACCTGCCAGAGGGGAGACTGAGATGAGCTCTTAGGCAGAAGCTCTTCCCTGGGAGGTTGCTGAGGCACTGGCACAGGGTGCCCAGAGAAGCTGTGGCTGCCCCATCCCTGGCAGTGTTCAAGGGCAGGTTGGACACAGGGGCTTGGAGCAAGCTGCTCTAGTGGAAGGTGTCCCTGCCCGTGGCAGGGGTTGGAGCTGGATGAGCTTTAAGGTCCTTTCCAACCCAAACCAGGCTGGGATTCTATGACTCGAGCCCATGTCAGGGCTGGCTTCTGGTCTGAGCATTCTGTTCAAACCTCAGATGTGAATTCCTCAGGCAGAGGTTATGTCTAAAGTGTGTGATATAACATTATCCTCCGATGAAGGATTGCAGCCATGTATCAATGCAGAGTTGTAAAGCTTTTTGGCTGTGTAATAGTGCATCAGAGAGATGTTCCGTGGGGGGTGTCAGTGTTAGACTGCAGCCCTTAAAATATCTGAGCGTAACTCCCGCAGGTAGGTGCCTGCACTCCACTTCAGCCTCTTGTCTTACGTTACATTGAATGTAATCTTCTCATTTTAGAATGAAGAAGTGTTAAAGAAATGTGCGCAGGAGTATTTGTCACGAGTAAAGAAGGAAGAGCAGAGGTATCAAGCACTCAAAATTCACGCAGAGGAAAAACTGGACAGGTAAGGAACTGTACACATCTCTCTTCTGGAGTTCATGCTGCAGGAGTATTCTTGCGGCTAGACCTTGCATCCCAAACCTGCTCCTTCAGTACACAGAGCATAGGCTGCTATGGGATGAAGGGTGGAATGAAACGCCATAATGAGGATTCCTGTCATGTGCTGGTGTTTCTAGAAGCTCCTCATCATACAGAGCACCTTAAATTTCTATCTTTATCAAATGTCTTCATGTTTCTTTAACTTATTTATATAGGGACTGTAGTGATAGGACAGGGGTAATAGGTTCAAACTTAAACAGGGGAAGTTTAGATTGGATATAAGGAAGAAGTTCTTTACTGTTAGGGTGGTGAGGCACTGGAATGGGTTGCCCAGGGAAGTTGTGAATGCTCCATCTCTGGCAGTGTTCAAGGCCAGGTTGGACAGAGCCTTGGGTGCCATGGTTTAGTGTGAGGTGTGCCTGCCCATGGCAGGGGGGTTGGAACTGGATGATCTTAAGGTTCTTTCCAACCCTAACTATTCTGTGATTCCATTTTCCAGGGATGATGGAGAAGGAACCCATTAGCTAGGTTTGTGCAGCTGTGGAGGGCTGTGCTCAGATGCTCGCACCTGCAGCCCGTATTCCTGCCCCCAGAGATTTGCTATTGCCCCTGTGCTGTATTAGTGCCCCTGCATCAATCAGCAGAACAGAACATGTAAGTGCACCTCAGCCCTTTCAGTGCAGAATTAGTCTCTACCCAGTAACATCAGTTATCTGAGCTGGATCAGCCTGACTTGGGCAGAGGGTGATGAGGAATAATCACGCAGAGAGAGAGAATAGTGCCAGAAAGAGGCAGCTCTGGTTGATCTATATCTATAGGCTTCCATGTAATGGCCAGTTAAGCATTTATAGGAATTCCATACAGTCCCCTAGACCCAAAAGATGCTTCCAAAATGTCACTAGGATCGATCAGTGCCTAAAACAAAGTAAAACTTGGTTTTGCTTTCCAGCTGTTGTCCCAGTCTAGTCTAGCAGGTCTAGTCCAGTCTAGACTATTCTAGAATTAGACTAGCGAGTCTAGCTCTAGTAAGAACTAAAGATCATGTTTAGAAGGTGCATAAAATACTTCTACTTAAGTGATATTTGTCACCTGAACACAGACATCTGAAATAAGGCTGAAGGGAATGACACACACATTAAGAAAAGCCATGAAAAGCCTCTAGGGACAAGTCTCTCAATACTTTCAAAGACATGCATCTGTTAAGACGTGGTCCATCCTTTGGTACCCCCTGTCCTTCCTTGTAGAGAACCTGACATGACACAAACCTCTGTTTTTTCTAGAGCCAATGCTGAAATTGCACAAGTGAGAGGCAAGGCTCAGCAAGAGCAGGCAGCGTACCAGGCCAGCCTTCGTAAAGAGCAGCTCAAAGTGGACGCATTGGAAAGAACACTGGAACAAAAGGTAAGCAGCCATTCAGCTCTTTAATATGGAAGTCAATGGGATGTAATTAAGTGTAATTCACTTAATTTTGTGATTAAGTAAACACTGTAATTTCAGTGCTGACTTATGTGCCTCCACTGTTAACACAGACAAAATGGTCAGATACATAGATCTGTACAGCCTAAGGCAAAAAAGGGTATAGGAAATCCCTGTTTATATCTCCTGTTCTCTGGCACAGCAAAGGAGCTTGCTTTCAGTACAGTACAGCTTGTACTAGCTTAGAGCCCTTGGAAAACAGGGTGAAAGTAATGCTGTAGAAGTGCAACCTAGAGACACATTTACACTATGTATTATTATCATGAGCTAGGAGTGACTTCTATAAAGCTGTCTGCTCTAGAGCTATGTTGTTATTGAAGTCAGAGGAGCTGTATGTGGAAATAAGGTGATAACAGTATTTAAATGAAGTATAGGCATCTGTACTACATATGCATATATATCTCTCTATATGTATAGATCTATACATACGTATGCTTATATGCATAGATATTCTGTACTGAATATCTATAAGATAATCAATACAGAATATCTATACATGTAGGGAAGCATATATATATATATATATATGCACACATAATGTGTTTATATGTGCATGTGTATACACACACATATGTAGAGATATTCAGTACTGGAGAAAACTTCATTGTCCCAACTTTTCCCAAAGTTTGGATAATTAAAACAAAACCTAATCTTAATGCAACGATATTTTTCATAACACTTACTAATGCCTTTTGTTTTCCAGAATAAAGAGATAGAAGAATTAACAAAGATTTGTGATGAACTGATTGCCAAAATGGGGAAAAGCTAACTTCTAACCAAATTTCTGGACTTCAATATTGAGTGCAATATGACCATTGGCACACTGATGTCCATACGTTTATGTGGACAGGTTATATTTTCACTTTTTCGTATGCACTACTGTATTTTCTTTCTAAATAAAGTTGATTTAATTGTATGCAGTACTCAGATGACTATCAGAATTTCTTGCTATTGTTTGCATTTTCATAGTATAATTCATAGCAAGTTGATCTCAAAGTTCCTGTATCAGGGAGATTGTCAAGTTCTCTAATTACAAATTGCTGATCCTAGCCTTCCCTTTGTACATGAGTTCCCATGTTGGATGTCTTTTGGATTTAATATAAACATGTATTACTTGCATGGGGACTCTTGCCTTAAGGAGCATAAACTTTATCTGCATTTGCTGATTTGTAAAATAAAATGAAAAATGGAAGAAAAAAAAAGGAAATGCATGTCACTGAAATGAAATTCTCTATTGTAAATAAATTTTTTCGTTGAAAGTTGAAGATGAGAATGGTTCTGGTTTATGGACTTCAATCGGTTACTTCTTGTGCAGCTCTTACTAATGAATTCCTTTGCAGAAAGCACCTTGGGGGTCTCTCGCTACTTGGAGCACTCCGTGGGGCATGAGGATATGCCACTTATGTGCACATATCTGTGCCTATATCTTGCTGGCTCTATAAATATATATATGTATGCACTAGATTTGGACCACTCAGGTCTCAAGCACAGGCTTAATCCTCCAAAATGTTTAATGCTCTGACCTTGATCCAACAAATCCCATAGGGAGATGTGACGAGGCTCTTTGCACAAGTCAAAGGCAGTGACGCGTGGTGGTGGAACAGTGGTTTTTAAGCACATCAGTCACTGAAAGGTGGATGCATTTTCTTCTTCCTGCCCCTGGAAGCACTTGCCTGCCGGGTTTGTGGAGATGAAGTACGTGTGCTTAGCAGTACAACCAGAATAAGCTCGATAAGTAGCATTCTTGGGCACCTCTTTATCCTGTAAGTTATCCTCTGCAGAGGATTAGGTATGTAAGAGAAGCATTAAGGCTTTAATAGCAAACAAACTGCTTTCTTTGCTTAATGGTGCATCTCTTGCATTTCCATGATGTGGACAGTCTTCAGCCTGGGTCTTGTCATCTCCCTTTTTGTACTCAAAAGTAAGTCAACTCCCTTTTCTTTCCTTCCTTAGTTCTTTTTCATTTCCTACTTCAGGCATGGCTGAGCCTCTTTGCTGTTCTGGGCTTTCTCTCCTGGCTTTGTTTGGTTTGAGATTAGTTTGTGGATGTGGTTAGCAGCTCAGAATATCACCTCTGCTGTGAATTACAAACATCAGTATCTATGTCAACAATAGCAAGTGTGCCTTCTGCTCTGCAAGTTGCAAGTATGGTATTTGAAAGGGATTTCAAGTTCATGCTTGTCTTTGAAACAACCGTGTAGTTGGAACCAAGGAAAGAAAGAGGTTTGTGTTATGGTTGTAATGTTTAAGCAAAAGCAAAACTTAAAAGTGCAGTGTGCCTTCCAGCTGAACTCATACTTTAGGAGGAAATCAAATCTGGATCATAGTTATATTTTTTGTGTTTAAAATGTCCTATTTTATGGTACTGTGGACCAAAGATCATGAAGGAGGGAGGAAAAACATGATGCTCCAACTTGTTACAGTGGCCTCTGCTCTAAAGATGTTACAAGAAGGTGTGGATGGTTATTTGAATTGTAACAACTAAGTAATATATGGTTAATTTTATTTTAATATTTAAAATCAGTATCTAGACCACTTATCAAAAAGAAATATTAATAGAATTTGCAATTCTTTATATTTTTTAAACCTTTTTGCAACTTTTTCCATATTATTCATACAAAATAGGAAGACTGTATAGCTTATAATTTAAAATACATTCTGCAAACTGTAAACCCTACTGTTAAAAGTGGTCTTTTTCTCCTTAATGCCAGGTGAAGCACTGCAGTGTTACACCTGTGTAGGTTCTAGTGATGAAGAGTGTAACAGACAAGGAACTCAGCAATGTCCAGGGCATTCAGATGCGTGCGCGGTCATTAGAGGACAAGCAAGTAAGTCGGTTCAGACTCATTACATATTTCATAGTAGAAATAAGCAATCAAGTGTTGGAAAGGGAAGAGTTTATAGTGATCTAAGGAGAAAAAACACAGAGAAATGTTTCTCTTAACTAAACAACCTGCTCTAGTGGAATGTGTCCCTGCCGGTATCAGGGAATTGGAACTGGATGAGCTTTAAGGTCCCTTCCAACTCAAACCATTCTAGGCTTCTATGAAACCCTATTAATAAATCTGAATCCATAATTTTATTGGTTTAGCAGAAATCTGATGCAAAATCCCACTGAGTATGATGTGCCACGATGAGCTGTAGCCACACTACGTGAAAGCTGTAAAAAAGCAGTTTAAGTATTACTCACTTCTTACTTAAATCTGTTGTTTATAAGGACTTTATAAGTTAAAGGACTTGCCTGGAAATCAGGAAGGAAAAGAAACTAATGAGGCACTGCACTTGAGCACATTCAAGTATATTTAAGCTGCAGCAGTTGCATCTAAGATAACTTACAGTTATTTAACTTAAGTGAGAGCTGTTAGTGTGCTGTAAACTGATGCAACGGTATTAATTTACTTCTAAGGAATGGCCAAACCTAATATTGTTGCTCGGTGTTGGATGATCAGGTCCCTGCTGAGGGGGTGCAGAGAGTGGGTGACCATGACCATGAAGGTCCTTTTGGTTCACTGTGTCTCTGTTCTAGGTGGCATTATGAAGTCCTGTTCGTTCAGATCCTTCTGCGAACGGGCAAAGAGGGATGGATCCAAAGCACCTGGAGTGAGCGTTCAGTGCTGCTACTCGAACAACTGTAATGCAAGGAGCCTGGCTTCAAGGGTCACCACCTCCATGGGCTACTTCCCTCTCCTCATCTTCACATTGCTGTGGCACCCATTGTTGAAGCTGACATGAGGTGGGGGGAAAGAGTATCCTGAAGCAACAAGTCTGCCTTCTTAGAAAGGAATGATTATATTTCCGAATTGCTTACTCCATGTATTCCATGTTACTCCATGTCCGTTTCTCAGTAGGCAAAAAGCAGTAGGCAGACCTGACAGATGTCCAGATAAAAGTTGCTCCATCTGCTAAATGTCTTCTATATGTAAGAAACACTGCCCTCTTCTTGTTGAAAGTAAGGGGTTGATTCTGTGAATATCTCACATTTTCCTACTCTTTAGGGAAGGAGAAATCTTAGCTACAAGTAGCCTTGTAGTAGGGCAAAAATCTCCCAAATGCTGTTTACTGTTGGCAGACATTCAAAACAAGCTAAAATCTTCCAGCACAAAGTGCATCACTAGCTAGTAGGCAGGTGGTCCTCTGAAGTAATGTTGAAAAGGCAAAACTAGAAGTGACATGCCACACAATGTGATAGCACTTAGCAGGGGCTTGGCTCTGTGATGCTGGAGGGCAGAGTGGTACCTCCTTTCATTCAAAACTCAGGGAGACAGACAAGCAGATGAATGAAATTTGTAGTTTTTAATGTCAAAAAGTAATGATCTGGTCTTACCTCTGACACCAAACATGCATAGGACTGGCTAACGTCCAGCCGGTGTAATTGAAGTAGAGGTGGTCTTTCGAGTTCTAGTTTTAGGTGTCCATTTGGGGAAATATTTAGTTGTCAAGTTTAAGGAACTCCCAAAATCCGTGGCTAAGTAGGTTTTTTTCCTAGTTTTTGTGTTGTGACTTTTTGGGGGGTACAATTCTTTGAAAATTCAGTGTGTCATAGAATCCTGCGCGTTCACAGAGGTGTTATGAAGGCTGCAAACTCTAGAGAACTTCTTCAGGTGAAATCGGTGAAACCTCCTTGTAGAGCGTAACTCCAGCCTGCCTTAGCTGTTGCCTGTCACCTGGACCAAACTGTCCTTGCTTCACTGTACTTGTTCCTCTTCGGGGAACCTTCCAACATCCCACGTAGATCGTGGCTTCAGACTGGGACTGTTATTCTGGGGTTTGTTTGGTGGGCTCTCAGACGAGGCAGTTCTGGTCTCTCTGTAGTACTTAGGCACAAGTCTGATAAATCTGTTGAATACAAAAATTGCAATAATGCAGCAGATCTTGGCTCAGAATGTTAATTTAGGCTTAAGTATCTGCATAAAACCCACTTAAGTTGATTTGAGTGTTTTTCATTTCGTTTCATCTCGGCTTGAACCAGTTCCTTCAATCTGTTCTGCTGCAGGATTATGTCTTTATTTTCTGACTGCTCTGTAACGATAAACCCATATTGAATGTCATCCCTGTATATGCTCAGTGCCCTTCCTTAAGGAGAAAATAAAATACATGCAACGGCTGACAATGTCTCTTGATAGACAAAACTGCATCTTCTATTTGGGGTTTCCCACTGCATCCCATTTTCCAGCGGGAATTCCAGCTTCTTTTTCTGTGGGATGTATTTCTTAAATCTGTTTGATAAACTAGTGAAGGTTGATGGTTTTCTTACTGTGATATTTCCCTGATGAAACACGAAGGTGAGGCTCTATCCTCTTGACAAACACCATCTGTCGCTCCTGACTGCAGCCAGGACTCGGATCTTCAGCCTCCCACTGCCTCGGGTTGATTCTGCCACCCAGCCTAATGTAATGTTTGCCTTCACAGGGCTGACATTCTTCCTGCCTAATGATGAACTTGACGTGTGCATGTGTAGACCTAGAAATAATAAATGGTACTTATGGATGGATGATATCAGAGGGCTTCCACAATGGTTCTTGGCATAAACGTAACAGGAAGAGAAGCTCAGAAGAAAATGGGACAAAAAAGAAGGAATATTTTTTAAATTCTACTATAAATATGAAGTTTCCATTGCCATGTCTGTGCAGAGCGACTCCCAGTCATATGTGAAGTAGAAAGTGATTGCATTTAGTTTGATTGTTCTGAAATCTAATTATTCCTGCAGCAGTGGCACAGTCTGTCTTCCTTAATACAAACAGACAGTTGGGACAAAAGGAGCAGAAACCGATAATGAAATGCCTTCTGCTGCAACAGAAAATGACAGGACTTCTTTATCATGAGTTGAATCACTGTAGTGCATCGGTTGGGTAAGTACTGGGTTTGAGTTTAACGTTACTCTGTCGCCTTCGGGAAAGGATCTGCAAAGCAAGAGATTTGTAATTTCTGATTTATAAGCAAGAAAATCATAGAATCATCACAGAATCCCAGACTGGTTTGGGTTGGAAAGGACCTTAAAGCTCATCCAGCTCCAACCCCTGCCACGGGCAGGGACACCTTCCACTAGAGCAGCTTGCTCCAAGCCCCTGTGTCCAACCTGGCCTTGAACACTGCCAGGGATGGGGCAGCCACAGCTTCTCTGGGCACCCTGTGCCAGCGCCTCAGCACCCTCACAGGGAAGAGTTTCTGCCTAAGAGCCCATCTCAGTCTCCCCTCTCAGTTTAAAGCTGCTCCCCCTTATCCCTGTTATAACTCGTAGGACTTACAGGCAGCCCCCAATCATATT